ACCGCTGACAACAACTCTGGTCGTCGGCCTGAATCGATGTTGGATCACCTGCCACCACCACGGCCGCTTGCTCCCACGGCGGACGAGAACCAGGACAGATGACGCCTACGACACCTGACTCGGATTCTGATGGTTCAGTGCGTCCACATCCAGGTGCCTCGTCGTTCCGACCGTCTCCTACGGTGGTTCATGGACCTCGGGAACTTCTACAAGAATTCACCATTGCACTTCGCAATGCATGGTGCGACGGAAGAAAGACAAGGATTCCAGGCCCACCTACAAAACCATTGCTCGGTTCCTTCAGAAGCCCATTGAGGAAGTCAAGCAGGCATGGAAGGTCTATCAGCAACTTGAGGCTCGCGGCTAGGAACCCGGTCATCAAATGCAACAGTGACCACAGGAGGACTAAATGGTAGGCCGTGGCGGTGTATTCGGCTAGCGCTGCGGGTTGTCGCGACGGTTGAGATTGCAGTCATTATTGATCACATGAAATTTGCTTGCTTGCACTTGACTGGCATTTTACCAGGGTAATATTGCTTGCCGTTGTGGGTGTTGCCGCTGACGTGAATTGAATGCATGACTGAGTTGCTCAAATCATGTCGGAACAAGTCGTACAGACGTACATTACTTGGACCCATGGAGCGCAGCCGACGTGGTTACAGTTTCACGGACCTGGAGCCCTGCTTGACAGACCCATTCGGCAGACTACGTCACCTCCGCCCCCACCAAGTTTCCCACTGCTTCTTCCACCTCCGCCTCCTCCACCGCCACCACCACCGGTGATTCTACACCCACAGTTTATGCCCTCAGTACGGAGCCCCTCGATCTCAGCTCCTCGCGGACAATCCTGCCCTGCCACATCGAAATCGCAGCGCACACGCCGCTCGATCTACAGCACTGACCATTCCCGTGATGAAGAGCTACGCAGTCCAGGGCGTTCATCCAAACGATCTCGGACAGCATCCGCTTCTGCACCGCGGAGATCTCGGCGGCCCTTTACCGTGTTCCCCTCCAAACGTGCTGGCCGTCCATCGCTGTCCCCATCGGCAAATTGCAAGCATTACTGTCATGCCTTCCTGCGCCATGGGCGGAAATGTCTTTCCCCTTGTGATCGTAGACGACCAGGACATTATCATTGCAGGTGTGCGCGGCATCAACGGCGGTGAAGCTTAGGCGTCGTATATTACAAACCTCGCTGCTGTGTCTCACCTTGAGTTTGAAAAGTTGCCTTGCATCCCTTCAGCTGCGCGCGGTTGTCATTGCATGTGTGTCTTCGCCGCAGATTTTCGATTGCTTTTAGCGGCCGCGCGATAGCCTGGCTTGCCGCTATGAACCCTCAATATTTCGAGTACCAGATCGACAGAGGAGTGGAATGGATTCGAATTTACTCACCGGGCACGTGGCGACCCGTTCCCGATGATGCTCCAGTGCTCGACCCGGTCTACGCTTCCACGTATCGGGAGTGGCGCAGGTCATATCGCTTCCAAGTGTACTGGTCCGAAGACAGCACCGGAGGAACAACAACTGATCCCATTGTCACGCCCAGTTCGTATGTGTCCTACCACGTGTGGGAGTACCGAGACTGGCAAACACGAGGGTATCAACGACTTGGAGCTCCTTTACCAGCCATTGGACTCGCGATGCTCGTGGATGCAGACGCCAATTCCTCGGTGGACTCATCGGTTCCGGATGGGGCGTGGCGAGAGCCGTACGATACGGAGTGATACTTGAGCAACATGTCGGATAAAATGACGCTGTTGTGCTTGCTTTGTATGCGATTCCATGTTGGGTTGTCTTGCTTGGTGTTGTGCGTTCCGTCTCCAGCTGTTCGCCGCTTTCATTTGACTCTGAGCGGTTTGCCTGGTTGATATGTTCAATTGTACAATGTATAGCGCAGCACGATGGGTCCTGCCTCGCTACTTTGACTACGACATCGTCAATGGCCCCGCGAATACGAGTGTAGAATGGATTCGGATCTATGTACCGGGTCCGTGGCATCCAGTCGCCGAGAACACCTTGGGACCAGCCCCGGATGACTCAACCACCTATCGGGAATGGCGCAAGGTTTACCACTTCGAAGTGTATTGGCCGAGGGATAGCACAGGCGGCACCAATACAGGTGCTGTTTCGCAGCCGGTATCTTATGCATCCTTCTATACTTGGCATTATAGAGACTGGGTCACCAGGGGATACCAACGGCTGGGTCGCCCACACCCTAGCATTGCGCGGCCAGTTTTCGCTTCGGGCGCACCGGACCTCATGTACGCTGGATTGACCTCTTCATCGGCATCCTCCAACTCGGATGGTGGCTGATGCTCGTCCTCGCCTTCCTGGGGAGTCTGTTCAGTTCAATTCGATTCGGGAGATTGACTTCGATACCGGAGCCGTGCATTGCTGCAAAAGTGATTTCTTGCACTGTGGTAGTTGTGTCTCTTTCAGTAATTGTTGTCTGCAGCCGTACCTATCAATTTGTCTTTCCGGGTTTGCGTTGTCATGCCGTGGCTGGAATGGTGTCCGGATCCTCAACAACCAGATGCCCAGTGGGTCAAGATCTTTCATCCGGGATCATGGACTCCACATGAAGAACATGATGCTCCACCTCCACCGCACACGTATAGAGAGTGGAAGGAGTTCTATGCTCCCAACCCGGACCAAGACGGTGAGCAGCTCAATGTCACCATGTGGTACAAAAGAGACTGGGCCACAGAGGGCTATCGGAGAGTCGCTGCCCCTCAAGCTGGTCATGACTTTGATTCTATGTCTTTTCCTGATCATCACAGCGTGGCCACGCAATCCGCGGCATTGAGTATGTCACCGCAGATGTTAGAAGCGATCCTTAGATCCTCGGATGCGGCGGATTTCTCTACCGAAGAACTGACTCGTCTCCAAGAGGGGATTTCTCAACAACTGACAGCTCGCGCACGTCACGCTTCCCAACTTCATCAACCTGTACGTGCATCACGTGGAATCACACCATCGGAGACGGTTGGGGTCTCCGAACCATACCGGCCTGTTAATCCTTCCGACAGCTGCAAAGCCAAGGCGAGACCTATCTTCGAGCTAAATGAGGACTAGACGCACGCGAGTGGGGTAGCGTACAAAATAAGGGTGGTTTTCACACTTGCATTACCTTGCTTGGTTGTTGCTTGTACATGGTTGTGCATGGTGCCTGTTCCTCTATCAGCTGGATCGGAGCCCGCGATACGCCTTGCCTCTTACTTCGACATGGACATCGAGGATTCGAAGCAGCACCCATGGCTCGAATACTCGGTCTGGCAGGATCAGGAGTGGGTGCGGATCTACACTGCAGGACAGCCTCAGCGATGGCACCACGGAGAAACTGTACCTGATCTACCAGACAATTCTTTTCGGGAATGGCAGCGGGTGACTGATCCCAATGGGCGCACTGGTGAGCACGGTCAGGCATGGACCATCCGCGACTGGCAGCATCAGGGATACCAGCGCATTCTGTCTCGAATGGAGTCCTTCACAACTCATCATTCGCATGATCAATCTCTTGGTGAAGTTCGGAATTCCGATGCCATTCCAGTTGAGGAGACGTTCACCTATGCTACTCCGTTTTCTCATGGTGATCGCTCGACTGCTTCACAACTCGCTTCAGTCCTCTATGGCGACACTCGTAATGCTCAACGTGGTGATCTCTCGTTCCCGTCTTCTGAGCGGTTTAGGGCTGTTTCTCGTTCCCCTCGCCGCGGTGGATATTTTGGTCAACGATAGGGACACGGGGTTGAGCATGTGATCTTCCTGCGGAAAAGGAGACTCCTCGCCGGGCGTGTGTGTGCGGAGTGACAGAATGCCCTGTCACCACCCTTTCGGTTTCTCAGCAGGGGGGTCACCCGCAGTCACGACCGGTGACCCAACGAAGAGGGTCGTGACCTGCGCTGATATCTGACCTGATCAGTCAGACGTACCTGCCAAGATGGTTGTGTTGTTCTGAATGTCCTTTTGGTCCCCCCCTGAACCGCCGTTGCTTCTGTGTGTCCCTGTTGAAGTAACTACAGGGAAGCCAAGTGACCAGCAAGCCGATGGGGTTTGTCCCCAGTTGTACTCGAGACTCATCAGTTGTACTCGAGACTCATCAGTTGTACTCGAAAGATTAGCACTCTCCATTTGGAGTTTAAGTTGTGTGTGTGTGTGTGTGTGTGTGTGTGTGTGTGTGTGTGTGTGTGTGTGTGTGTGTGTGTGTGTGTGTGTGTGTGTGTGTGTGTGTGTGTGTGTGTTTGTGTGTGTTTGTGTGTGTGTTTGTGTGTGTTTGTGTGTGTTTGTGTGTGTTTGTGTGTGTGTGTGTGTGTGTTTGTGTGTGTGTGTGTGTTTGTTTGTTTGTTTGTTTGTTTGTTTGTTTGTTGTTTGTGTTTTGTTTGTGTTTTCGTGTTTTTTTTGGGCGGCGGCGAAGTGGGTGGGCCTGATTTTTGTTTGGGGGGGCTCCTTCCAGGAAGTAATTGCCGAAGCTGACAGAAAAGCTGTTCAATTTTAGGGGCCCGTTTGTTTCTGTGATTGGCAACCTCGGTTGGATATGATTATGTGCTTGCCTTGTTTGCTCTTGTTTGTTTGCTTGCTTCCATGCTTGCTGGCGCTCAACAATAGCGATGACCCAGGGGTTCGGGAATGAACCTAGGGATCCCCCTAAAGGAAACCATAGGGGATGGTTTTTCTCGGAGTCATTCCATTTCCGATTCCCTACTGAACAAGTGTTGTGCTTGTTCCTGTTGATAAGCTAGCCGCCTGTCAATCTGTTGGCCATTTGTTTGGGGGCGCTGCTTCCTTTCTCCTAAAATGCGGGGACCGTCAAAATTGGACATTTTGACTTGCAAGATCTTGCAAACCAGCGGGACATGAGCAAGTAGGGCCCTAAGTCACAACGTGGGAGGAGCTAGGAACTTAGGAACAGCTTGGTGATCGGCCTCTATTAATCTCTGGTTTGGTTTCGTCATGGCCCTTTACAGGTTCGCCGAGCTTTTTTCCAGGCTGTCTCATGTGAGGTTCGCTGCGAGCTACCTGGGGCACTCCAACTGGGTGCGCACGGCTTCGTTCTCCTCCAGTGCCAGCCACATCGTCTCCGGGGGAGATGACAAAACCGCACCTCGGTGGGCAACAAGTTTTAGTGGCCATTCCCCGTGGGCAACTTGTGCCCAGCGACACCCTAGGTATCCGAGGGTGTTCACCCTTTGAACATGGCAACCCCGTGCGGAAGGTTTGCCTGGGCAAACAAAACAAAGGGGTGTTCATACTCGGTTCCAAAATGAGGACGTCACTTGCTGAGGTCCTGGGCTTGGAACTTTTGGGTTTGGACTATTGTTTTGTAGTAAACGAACAGTTAACGGTCACCTGTTTTGGGCCATCAGGAATTGAGTATCCTTTCTGGGAGTGGAAAACTTGGCGACAGGGAGTGTCAATGCCCGCTCTTGCGCTCACCGGGATTTTGAAACCATTTCCCGACACCCTTATCTTGTTCAGGTTGGTTTGAGACCTGAGGTCTACACGGCTAGATGCGCTTTTGTTGATTCCATATGTCCCCCTTGCCTAAAATGAGGCCCAAATAAGGTTGCCTGATTTGGAGGAAACCGGCGGGGGTGAGGGTCCTATTGGTGGGGGTTTAGATGCTATGCAGGGGGTTCAAAAATCGTGCATCCAACCAATTCGTTTCTTTGGATCAGGTGGTGTTGGGGTTCCAGCCACATGTAAATGAAGCCCAAAGCTTGAACTGAGCCCTTCCTCATTCTCAGTTTTCTTCCCGGGCGGTTGAAGCGAACCAGCCACAAGTAGATGCAGCCGCCTTTGCGATTCTTTACATAATTTGTGGGTCGAGCATGTTATTGTTTACCAGGCTTTGATAGCTTCCAGACATCCTCAGACTTGGGACCACTCTAGTACCATCTTAGTACCATGTGTCTACGAATGTTACTAGGGACCCTCCTCATCAAATTTGTTGGCCACCCTTTGTTCCTTTCATTTCTGGGTGGTGCTGGCTTTCGCACACTTTCCCTCAGGTTTTTCCTTAGTTCGGCAGAAGGGGTTCAGATTGGTTTTATGCCCCAATTACCAGGGAAACCCCATCTATTTTACCAGTTTGGGACTATGCCGAGCTGTCGCCCCCTTTTTGCCGGCCTTTGGTCCGTTCACTGCCTTGTCTAGGGTTGAATAGTAGTGCGATTGTACCATTCCTTTTTGGGTTGGGAGGGCTCCCCTACTAAAATAGACAGAGAACAGTTGGCACCCTTATTCGAGCGCCTCTCTACTGGAGAACCTAGTTTTCTCGAGGTGCGGCTCTGGGACGTGGAGCGGAAGCTGTGCCTTCAGAGCTTCCACGACGCTGGCGCTGCCGTGACCTGCGCGAAGTTCGGCTTCGGCGGAGGCGGATCCGGCGACCAGGTGTTGGTGGCGAGCTCTTGGGATTCCTCGCTGAATTTGTGGGACGCATCTCGGCGAAGCAAAATGGAACAGGATTCCCCATTCTTTCCAGGGGAAAACAATTTGGGAAACAGCTGGTTTTGTGAAAAGAACGATGGCTGAAAAGAATGGGGAAGCAGCCCCTGGAGGATGCAAGGGGCCATTGTTTGGTGGTGGTGACCCCAAAAAGGGACCCTCACTGGCTAGATGGTGTCAACCCCCCGGCACAGGCATGCGTTTTGGCATGCTCGGTGAAGCAAAAGGAAGGGGCCCATTTTTCTGGTGGTGCCAAACTCTAAGACTCAGTGTCCCAAAGCGAATCGACCGTAAGTTGTTACCTTTTGGTTCGCCCATTTTGGGTTCCCAGCCTTAAAGGTGCCAAAAGGTGATCTCACCTCGTGTTTCTGGTTCCCACCCAGGGCAAGTGAGAAGGGAGAAAGGTGCCAAAAGGTGATCACCTCCCTGGGGGGGCGTGCGTGAGAAGAAGGGAGCAGCTGGCTATAGCTGGCTAGTCACCCCCCAAGCCTCCATTTGCTTAAGAATATGCTTATTTATTTATTTATTTATTTATTTATTTATTTATTTATTTATTATGTTTATTGATTTTCCCTTGTTGGTGTGAAAAGGAATTCATCACTATTGGACATATGTTTTTATTTTCCTGGGGACTTAACCAAATTGCAAGGAACTCCATGACTGTTGAAGGTCCCAGCTGTTTGTGTGTTGCTTCGATGGTTCGGAGTAATGTTGACCCAGGATGAATAAACCCGTCCCATTGGGGGTGTTCCCTGCAAAAGTGGTCCGAATCCAACCGCTAAAGCCCGCGCCTTGTGCCCTCAGGTCCGGTCCTACGGCCTGAGGCAGCACTATGGCCGCGCGCACGGGACCAGTCCCATCATGCAGCTGGCCGTCCATCCCAAGGAGACGAGAAAACAAAAGCTGGAGCTCCAGTCTCATGCGCGCCAGGGGTTTTGAAGTCCTTTTTCCCTTGGCCTGTCTTTAGGTTACCCGGAGTTTAGTGGTTTGGATTTGGATTTCAAGCCCTGCTACTCTTTGAGGGTAAAGAGGAATCCCTCTTTCTCTAAATCTCCAAACCACGAATTAAGAGAAGCTGAGATTTAACAGAAAACTAAGTTGTCCGAACTCTGAGCTTGGCCAAGTTAAGAAATGGTTGATTATCGGGTCCAATTTCAGAGGGAATCCCGGATGTTTTGGCGGACCTATCAATCTGCCAGGTCTGGTTTAACGAGGGGGGGCATCAAGAAGAGGTGTAAGCACATGACTGATAATTTGATGGATAGATTGGTAGATTTGTAGATTAGATAGATTTATAGATTGATTTTTTGACAGATTTGATAGACAGGTTGACAGATAGACAGACAGATAGATAGACAGCTAGACTAGATAGATTAGATAGATTGGATGGATGGATAGACAAACACAGACAAATAGACGAACAACACAGACAGAGAGACAGATGGATAGATATTCTCACATTTGCTCACATATATGGGTTTGATATGGTTTGATTTTTAATTGGGAACGCTTTGGTGGACATCATTGAGGTGGGGATTCATACCGCCCATTTGTGAAGGTGGTTCCCTATAGCAGAAAAAACATGGCCATGAATATAAATATATATATATATGTAGAGATATGCTCCCCCCCCTTCCCCAGGACCTACTTTTTTGTTGCCTTTCCAGTGCGTGATTTGCCCCATATATACCCTCCCTCCCGCTAACAGGCAACTGACAAGGGGTCCATTCAAAAGAAATTGGCTCTTCCAGGTACCTCCCCACAGGTGCCATGTTAGTTGGAAGAAGCTCCACACCACGGACAGAGAGAGATGGAATGATATTCTCACACATTAGCATATACATATATATATATATATACGTGTATATCTGGTACCCTCCCATGGACCCTGGTAGAAATATGTACGTATATGTGTATGTATGTATATATATATACATCTATCTATCTAGCTCCACCTCACGGGCAGCCCCCCCGACCAGCTTTTATGGCCAGGAGGAGCTGCTTCTGAGCTGCGCCGCGGACCGGCAGCTGAGAGTCTGGGACCTGCGCGCGGGGAAGCTGCGGGAGACCGTCCTCGGGCACGACCGGCCCGTGCACTCCTGCGCCTTCGGTCTGCGGGATTGGGAAACCGGGGCTGGGGGAAATACTCAAGTCTGATGCCTGGATGAAGCTGATTTGGTAGTTACCCGTTTATGTGCTTGTTTTTGTTGGGTGGATGTTCCATTCAAGGTTTGTGTGTAATTATTTATTGGTGGGTTGCACTGAACCCAACGAGTCCCTGAATAAATGGTTCCTCTCAAAATACAGGTGCCTCCATGCGTATCACAAGGTTTGGTGAGCGAAGAAACTGCACCCTTGTGAATAAACTGTGTAATTACACGCCTTTTTAAACGCATGGACAAATTAGAGCCAAAGACCAGTACCAACCTCCTGGCCATTAACATGGGTCCCTTTAAAAGAGAAAACACGTCCAAACCACCCCCGACACTTTGCCCCACGGCTTCCCGTGGGGAGGCAGCAAGGGGCAGATGGCCCAGGGGTGGCTCCTCGTTTATTTTTATTACTTTTTTGGGGGGGGTTCGGAGGGGGCGGGGGGTTCGGGGCGCCGGGGGTCACAAGTAATCAAAAACCAAAAAGTGTTTGCTGTTCCCCATGGCGTCTGTGAGTTGTTTTTTCTTCTCAGTAGTTTTTGTTGGCCGCGTTTTGTCCGGTTAATCATTTTTTGGCTTGTGTGCTAAAAACATCACAAGTGAGTCTTACATCCTCGTGGGTTACACAGAATAGAATTGTAGCAGAGAGTAGAATTGAGCGTTGACCCAGGCTGCTGGGATGAGCTTGGGGCGCACTTTGTGAGCTGCGACAGCGAGCTGGCCTTCTACTGGTCTTCGCCCGTCGATACGGACGTCCCGTGCCCAAGCGAAGCAGCGACGGCGCGCCCCGCGCGAGGGTACCCGCAACGCGAGATGTCAAAGGAGCAGACGGAGCGAGAGGGCTTGGGGGCGGCAAAAACTGCGGAAGTGCCGGAGGCAGACACTTGAAAGCAACATTTTAGTTGACCCTGGGGCTTTTGATTGTTGATTTTGTTGTGATTTGAATCATGGCATTCTAGATCAGTAGTTTACAGGGTAGCCTTCTACCATCCAGAAAGCCATAGTTAACCCCAAGCGCATGAACAAAAAGCAACCTCCAGTTGGGTGGTCCCTGTCGCGATGGGCGTTGCCTTTTCCGGCCTTTTGGCTTCCTTTTGGCCAGGTGCCTGAACTTACGTCAGTCACCGAGCCGCAGGGATGCTCACTTTCGGGTTTCCGCGAGACGGCGGCGGCGGAGCCTCTCTCCAACTTCCTGGAGGCCGCCTGGGCGGGGGCCAAGGCGCACCCTTCGAAGCCTTCGAAGCCTCCGGGGCCGGCGACGGGACCGACGGAGGAGGCGGTGGCAAGGCTCATGGAGCGCCTCGGTGCGGAGAAGCGGCGGCGGAGTTTTCTGCTCCAGTTGCCTAGGTCCCCCAGCTAGATGCCCTTTCTCACCCCCTTTTTTGGTTGGGAGGGTTCCCCTAAAATAGACTACAGAAAAAAGGGTGCCCTTCTTCCAACCTCTCTACTGGAGGACGCAGTTGCTGAAGTGAAGACGGACTTCATAAAAGGGGGGTATCCTTCCAAAAAGACGGACCCGTTTTGAGAAACAGTAGGTCAGTAGGTGACTTCCACTTGCTGAAATGAACATGTTTTTTCCCCCTGTTGGTTTTAAATTGAAGGGACTGCTGGAAATAGCGTCTCATATTTTTCGAGGGTTGGGGCCCCTCGATTTTGGCACATGCCCAACTCAGTTTGTCCAAGCTGTGAAGCGAATTGACCTTTCAAAGCGACCTCAAAGCTGACTACTTGATTTCCAGGAGAGAAAATGATCGCCTTGGTTTTTTGGCTCTACGTTTGCCACATTTCCAGACCTAGCCGTTTCCATATCGGCGACAAGCCGGAGTGGCCTCACAGATTCTGATAGGCTTGCACGGCATTTCCAAATCTGAATCGATCGCTCTGCAACCTCAAGATGCCTTCTGCATTCCCAAGCCGAAGCCTGCAAACCCCAGTGCACTTGATGCTGCCATCCTCAACTTCCATATGTTTAAGAATATGTTTAGTTTTCCCATGTTGGTTTTAAAGGGAACCTGCCGCTCCTGGAATGATTTTATTGGTTGTGTCCAGGGGGCGAAGAGTCGGCAAATGGAAGTCTTGGAGTTGAACCTCAGTGTTTGGAGGTTTCCAGGGAAACCAAAAGGAAAAACAAAGGGACGCCCCCAAGGACGGGGGTTGGGGCCCTTAAGAATATGTGTAGTTTTCCCATGTTGGTTGTAAATGGAACCCCCAAATTCAAGACACACCAAAAGGAAAGACAAAGGGAAGCCCCCCAAGATGGGGGCTGCGGAAATTTTTGGTTTTCAAAGGAAACCCAAAAAGACGGGGGGAGGTTTTTCTGCGGTTGGCTCGCTCCCGAGTCCAGGAAGATGGTCACCGACATGGAGGCCCTCACGCAGCAGCTGGGCTCTTTGGAGCTGCGGCTGAACCGCACGGAGCAGAGCACCCAGCACTTGGCGGAGCTCATGGCGGGGGGGGCCTGAGACATCTGAGACGCTCGGGTCGCAAGAGTGGTTGTTTGGGAGGGTGGCCAAAACATATAAATATATATATATATATATTTATAAGTATACTTAGATATGTACACTTGCGCGGCGTGGCAAGTAGGTGAATTAATCTTGTTTATGTATATGTTTGTATATACAAGTGGGCATGCCTCCAAAACAGTTGTTTTTCCTGTTGGGCGTCCGTTCAATCCACACCCGAAAAGGGTAAACAAACGACAAGCCCATGCCCAGATCCTGGTGGTAATACGTATCCTGCTGGCCTCCTGATAAACCAGCCTGAAAAGGGTACCCTCTACGAGACACATAATGAAATGGGGCCTCCTCCCAAAATCCAGTGGATGCCCTAAGTTTGGAAGTCAGGCAACAAGTACACACCCAAAATTACCGCAGTTTATCATTGTCTTGTGGATTAAGTATAGTAAATGTACTTGCAATACTAGAGCATCCGCCACATGTCAGATTTTGGGCTAGACCAAATATGGAGCAGAATCGGACTTTCGCTGAGGTGACCTCAAATGCGGGTTTCTCAAAATAGGGGACCCCCCCTAAACAAAATAAGAAGCAACGAACGCGAAAACAGAGAACAAAGAACAAGAGCAGTAGTTTCCAGCTGGTTTTCATGTGAAACCATCACAAAATTGGTCCACCATGTTGAGAACTCCAAAATCTGTCTTTTTTAATGGTTGTCAAGGCCCCCCCCTTTTCCCGGTGACTCACAGGGCTTAGGGCCCAATTGGGCCTTTCTGGGTTTCTTTGGGGGCACAGCCATTTGCCCCTGATGGCAGAAACAAATTACCCTTCCTCCAACTAACATGGCACCAGTGGGGAGGTACCTGGAAGATTGGTTTCCTTTTGAAGGGACCCCCTCTCAGTTGCCATGTTAGTGGGAGGGAGGGTACATCCAAGTGTTTTTGGGCAAATCGGAAAGGCGCGCTTGCTCCAAGGCAGGGCATCTCTGAGGGGACAAACGGCAGCCGGGTGTGAGTGTACAGATGTGGCAGGGTTCTCTACATGTCCCCTTTTGCCTAGGTTAGACATCGCTCGAGTTTGATCCGGTCTCTGAACGTAGGGACAAAAGGCTTCGTGCTTTTCCGTCTTGTTTGGACGGCCCCCCCTTTTTCGGCTTCAAAGGGAAGCCAAGAGGAGCGCCACCATTTTGGCGTGTTCCGCCAAAAAGTGGACACCCATTGGGCAAATGTCAAGTCGGAAACCCCTTAGGTTGGGCAAAGCAACTCACGGGGGACATTTAGGGAGCACTGCTCGGGGAGCGCGCACTCGCGGAGCAAAATGTTTTTCGTCCGGCTGATCGGGGCGCGCAGTTTGGGGCTTGAACGCGGGCTCAAGCCTAAATTCAGAGGCAAGGCTTACCCCCTACTAAAAATACCCGCTGTTTTCCGGGTATTTTTGGGCAAACTTGGTTTTCCATGGTAAACACCTCCTGTTTTAGTAGAGGGTCGACATGATACCCTGAAAAAAGAGGGTATTTGGAGTAGGGGGTATTCCTTGCTCTTGTGGTTACGTAAAAGGTCGCTTTCGAGTCATCTTCCTGGGGTTCTCGTGTTGGCAGGTGTCTCTACCATTTCTTGTTCTGGCAATTTGGTCAGTCAAGGGCTCAATCAGTGCTGTTGGAGTAGGTACTGAGATTATGGTCCTATATGCCCCTCACATACCCAGGCACCTTCCCGATGTTTACCACCTGGCGGCCTGGTTTCAAGACACCGACTCGGTGTATGGGGGTCTGGGTCTTCAGTTGAAAGCCCGGCGCGTCTGGGCACATCATTTTTTTGTCGCTACCCGGCGCATGTAGACAGGGACAGCTTCTACCTTTGACTTAGAAGCTTCGGATGAATCGGACGCAGGAACCCGTGAAATAGACATTTGCCTCACTCTCATGAGCATGGTCTGGATGAATGATAGAAATCAACATTTGACTGGTTCGCCAAAGGCCCCTTCCACTCACTGTGTTTTGTGATAGCCCTCCAGTGGTTTCTGAAATTGTCCATCGCGACATATCTTCCGCTTCCAGCATCGGCATTACCGATTGGGCGGGTTGTCATCCTGCCGCCTGTCCGAGCCATAGCTTTCGGCCCATCTTCCGGACACACGCGCAAAAAAAAAAAAGGCCTCGAAAAGGCAGGCATCGCACTTCGAAGGCTGCCAGCTCGGAACGCCTTCCCAATCCGTGCCTCACGGTTTTGGCGCTTCTCCTTGTTGCTTTCCTTCATGGCTTTGCCCGTGCCCTTGCCACAGGCCGGGATTTTGCTTTTGGGGAAATGCTTCCCGGGAAGCCCCGGAGCTTTGGATCGGTCGGCTTGACGCCGCCTTGCAGGCGCCCTTCCCGGCATGGACCCTGCAAAAGGCCACCAAGGCCACCAAGGCCACCAGAACCTGTAGCCTAAGAAAAACCCAAAAGGACAAAGGCTGGTTGCCTGCAAGGGCGAAACGGGATGGGATCCACGCTTTGCAGAGCTGGCATCCGCTGGGCTCAGACCGGCGAAACAAGTGGCATTGAGTGCTGTTGACTTGTTGCCTGCCAAGGATCTATCTCAGTTTGGCAACCCTCTTTGGCATGACTCAGCGATGTCACACTGAGCGAAGTGTTTCAGGCAGAGCAACTCGACCTGTCACTCTTGCCTTCTGGGCTTGTTGGTTGCAATTTCACGTAGCTCTCCTCGGGATACTTGCCGGGGTAACTCAGATCCACTGGGTCAAGCAAACCGAAGTTGAATTCCGGACTGCCAAGGCGTTGGGAGTTCCACCCCTACCTGAGGCTCCTGTTTAGGCCTCTTTCATGAAACCCCTACCCCTTTCCGCAGGGTCGAGCTGTGAATCCAGTCACACGTCACGAAAAGTGGCTTGCCGTGCATGCAGGGCCTCAATGGCGAACACTGCCCAGTTTCCTTACTCCGCAAGCCTTCGGCTTGTTCATTCGACTTTGAAAGAGACCTTTCCATTGATTCCCCTGAATCGGGGAACCCAAAGCAGGGTCCCCAAACAGGAGATCCCCCCAACACCCAGTGCCCTTTTCCCTTTGTCTTGGAGGTATTTCCTTTAAGATCAACAAAGAGTAACAAAGAGTGCAGAGTCCTTTTCTTCATGGCCGCTGGTGGTTTGTCAGGTACGACTTGCAGGTTCCCCTTTGTGATGGCTCAGAGTTTTCTGAAAGGCTAGTAAGGCGAACGCTCGAAGACGGTGTCCTTTGGTCTTCCTTGATTTCCTTTGGTTTCACTTGGTGTCCGCTGCTTTTTTTTCTGTTGGGTTCCCATTGGTTTCGCTTTGTCCTGGTGTTCTTCGCTTTTTTTCTTGATTTCCGTAGGCTCCCTCAGGTGCCCTTGCTTGCTTTCTCAATTTCCTTCGGGTTCTCTTGGCTTCCTTTGGTTTCACTTTGGTTTCACTTTGGTTTGCCGTGGTTTCCCGTGGCTTCCTTCGGTTTTGCGGGTTTCCTTTCGTTTCCTTTGGGAAAAAAACAAAAAAACGGATTGCGTCGCTTTCCCTTCGGATGTCCCATCGATTCGCTCGATGCGGATTCGACCTCTCGCAGGCGCCCCAAAAAAGTCGCCGCCAGCTGGCGCGGAGGCGACGAGGACTTTGCTCTGGGATGAAGTTTGACCCTGGGTTTGGATTTGAAGCCCTGGTTCTTGTGGAGGGTAAACGGAAAACCCCGAACCTCCATCCAAACCAAACCACCAAGTCGGAAGCTGATCTATCCGTAAGTCATAACCACGGATATCGACACAACTCCCCAAATAGCCTAGGTCCCCCAGTGGGGCCCTTTCTCACCCCTTTTTTTGGGGAGTCCCCCTACTAAAATAGACGGACTACAGAAAAAAGGGTACCTTTATTCTAACCTCTCCATACGGTGGATGGTTGCAAAATCCATTTCGCACCACCTAAGAAACCATGGTTGAAACCACAGTCTTGAATCATCACTCCAGCGTGCCTTAGGTGGTGCAGGATTTCGTCAATCCACAGTATTCATCAACCCCTCTTGAGGGTACCCCTTCTTGAAGAAAACCTAGCATTTGAGGGGTCCTGAACACATACCCATTTTGACTTGAGTGTGACTGGGCAAACAAATAACAACACTTTTGTCTGTCTAAAAATGTTGAAGTCCAGGAGCTCGGTAAGTGAGGTAATTTTGACCCCATATTATTCAACCAACCAGTTTATTCATAGGGTTCCCCTCCAAGTGGTCTGATTCCCCACTACACCCAGGGACACCCTATAAATAAACTGGGTTTGATTACTAGCCTATGTGCAGATAAAACCGGGCTAGTTGTTTTGTGTTTGCATTATGTTGCGTCATTTTCCTAGGGTGTAATCCCAGGGTGCAATAGGAAATCCGTTAGACTCATGCAACTCCAACGCAACGGGAGGCGCAACTATAAACCATATTAGGTATGTATATGTATATGTGTGTGTGTATATGAATATACGTACTGTATCATAAATGCAAGTGGTATATAGCCACCATTCCTGCAGAACCTATACCAGAACATGCACTTGATCACGTGTTTGTCCATGCCCTTGCTTCTTGAATGGCTCAGCCCACACACGCAGGAACCTAGAACCCCTGTTCCTCTGGGAAAAACTTGCAGGAGTGTCCCTCGAGGAAAATGGTCTTCCAAGGGGGTCCCTAAGGGGACCCCCTTAGAAAATGTCCTTTTCAGCTGCCAGCTTTGTTTGCCGGGCAGGTCGCATGTAGATGTCAAAGAATAGTAGAAACCCGCGACAGGGGTGGTTTTGAAGGCATACTTCCATGTGCGTAGCCCTCTGCTGAGATGAATATGTTCTTTTGTTTTCCGTTCTTGGCTTTAGAGGGGATCGGCTTCACTATTGAACACATTTTCCCAAGTGGAAGCATATCATGTAGCCTACAGGGGCTGAGGGGCCCGGCCCCCTATGTTGGTTGCACACCAGCCTCATCCTCCAGAACCCATCCATGAACAAACGACCTGAAAGCCACCGATTTGACCTGAAAGCCACCGATTTTGCTTAAGGCAAAGACCAGTTGACACTTCTCACCCCTCCTCCATGGTCAGGCACCTGCTGCTGGGCGCGGAATCTCAACTGTCGACTTGGATGTGGGGGTGTCGCATGGGTTGGCACCCTGGTCCTTCACAAAAAGGAACACGCGGAGGCCGGTTTCCCTGTAGGTGCCCCTGTGACGCGTTCCAAAAATGAAGGGGCCTCCCTTTGAAACCTTCGAAAAGCAGACGCCAGACACATGTTTGCGCGTTTCGGCCGGCTCTGAAGTCGGAACGAGCGCTTAAGGCCCTTGCTTGTTCCACCTGATGTGGATTCCGTGGAAGGCATGCCGGATTCCAGCCATCGAGTTTCTGGCCGCAAGGGGTGTACCGACCTTTCAACTGGCTCTCCAAAAGTTTAACACTCATTTGCCCATGCGAATCGACCGGATCTGACCTTTAAGTCTTCCCTTGGACCATGTTCAGTCACGGGCCCCCAAAAGCTTGACCTTTTACTTCTCCTCTCTGGGCAAGTAAGGCCAAACCGCTTCAACCGTTAAGAAGTTCGGAAGACTGTCAGCTGAAGCCCTGTCGACTTCCATGTGCTTCAAAAAGGGAGGCGTGAGGTTGATATGGGTTGAGGTAAACGTGTCAAGTGGGTTTGTCTCTTTTTGAAGTTTCCCCTTATTTTTGCTGTTTTGTAAGGGAAACCAGTTAGACAGCTGTTTGCGCGTCCCCCAAAAACACACACACACAGTAGTCCATGGTGTCCAGTTATGAGGGATCCCATGCTCTTGCAGCAAGTAAGTTTGACCGTGGCTGGGCCCGGTCGCTGTTTGCCAGATGATCCGTTGAGTGTTTCCCAGCCATCCGGTTCCTTAGCTTTTTAGCTGTTCAGAGTTTAGTGGGGTTTCCGTTTCACCCACTAAACGTTCCACTTTTGGCAGGGAATCTGAGGACGGCCCAGGTACTTGAACGGCCTTTCAATGAACTATGTGACTTCTCGTGCTACATGTTACGAATGCGTCCGATCTCAAGGTTCACACCTGACACGCGAGCCGCGAGTCTTCTTTTCCCGGTGTTTGCCACGAGAACGCAGCGCCTTGATGGGGTTCCTTACGTAGCAACTGTGCCTAAGGATGCATTCTGGCCAAACGGAGAGCCACCTGCATTCCACATAGTGTCTACATGTATCCGCTTAGTTTTAGTTGTATCCTTGCAGACACCCTGTGGCGCAATGCTTCCCTTCTTGGAACTCAGATTTAGTTGGTGGTTCTCAGCCATCCGGTTCCTTAGGCTTTTCGGCTTCCAGTTGGTTTAGCGGTTGGGTTTCGATTTAACCCACCAGTTAAGTCAGCTTTTAGATGGGGATCTGAAAACTGAGGGCAGGCCAGTTTAGTGGAGTGATGCAGTGAGGTGATCACCTTCTGTGTCCAACCTGGGAAGCGCCACTCCCTTCAATTCAGTTGGCCAAAGGCGACCTTTGAACTCACCCGTGGCCAGTCCATTGCAAGGAAGAAAACCCTTTAGGTGTGTCTCAAAGGATGTGGGAACAACTTAAAGCTTTTTCCTTTTAAGCCCCAAGACGTTCTCCTTTTCCCTCAAGCACGTCTTACCTTCCCATTTCCTCCCCAACCCTCGGGTGAAACACCCCCCGCCAGCTCTGTCCTTTTTTCTTTTCTCGGCACGTGTCGATCACGAAATATGCGTAGCCATGGAGCCGGATATGCTGCTGCCCCGGGGATCGGTTGGCTGGGCGATTGGCAGGTGGAACTGCATCCCAGCTGGCGATGTGTCTCAAGTCTTCGGGGGCCGTGCCGTGAAGACCTTTTGAACACCGATACCTAGGAAGCGAAGGAAGGAGGTTGCAAAGACTAAGGAGGTTGCAAGGACCCTAAGTGTCCACCATACGAGCCCCCCCCCCCAAAAAAAGAGTAAATTGAGTAAATAGTTGTTCCTGATGCTTCCCTTTGAAACATCAGCAAGATTCCTCCATGTTCAAACTGTCCCGAGCAAAGCCGAACTGGACGCCGTAGCACACAAAAACCGATCCAGGTGAATCAACCGGAGCGTGCCTGGGCGTTTGCATACTCATGGTTGTTGGGACACATTTTACATGTTTGCCTGTGGCTTAGTGGTTGAAATCCCCAGAGAACTGCTAAAAAAAGTTGTGTTGCTCCCCTAACCCAACGTCGACCAAGTCCTAGGGACACCGGACCGGAGAGGAGGATGATTTTTCCAGACAGCCCAACTGTCAGCTTGAAACGCATGGAAGTGAGGCGTATAGTGCCTTGGCATGTTTCAACGGTGACTTGGAACATGGGAGCCAGCAACCCAGCCGAGTTTGTCCATCAACACTTTGGCCGGGCAAACCTGCCGGGGAACAGCATCACCTTACCGCCAATTGGTGGTTTGGTTTGGCGGTTTGTATGTTGAGAGTCGGTGCCTTCCCCATTGGATTTCAACAGGGCGTGGGGTTTTTTGAACCCTATGCCTTGAGCTTTTTGGGCTGAAGTGTTTTTTGTTTTCCCGCAAGAAGTGAAGTGGTTGTTTTATACTTTCTCTCTTTCGGGCGTCAAGGACCAACGCAGAAAGCATGAAGAAAGCGCCCCTTGCGAAGGACGCCAAGAAAACCACAAGCTTGGACGCAACCTTACTAAATAGCAACCATAATGATAATGGGATGTGTGATAGTTTCATCTCTAGACACTGCCAGCATAGCATATAGACCTGTAAAGCCATGGTGGAACCCATGGTCAATGGGTTTTAGCTGCGCTGCAACCCGAGCAGTTCCAAGGTACCGCGCTATACACCACGACAGAGTGCACCGACTATCCCAGCTACAACTGGCTGCCGAGCAGAGCCCTCTTGGTCGCCCCTTGGCGTATCCCCACCGGGTTTTTCAATTATGGAGTTGGGGGAGGGGGGATTTCGACCCCTCAAAGTCTCCATTTATGGTTTCATTCTTCTTTTTTATGCGGAAGACTAGAGAAATGAAATTGGGGACCGGGGGATCTTGGCGTTTAGTACTAGTGAGGCAGATTCCTCATGGCGTTCCGAAGACAAGCGCGGCTGAATTGTCCGTTTTCCATGCGGCTTCTCATCTCGTTGGTTTCCACCCCCCCCTTTCGGGAGACCAAATGGCTGGCTTGAGACGTAAGAGCACCAGTTCCAAGCTCGGCGGCCCAGCTGAAAGCTGAAATGCCACCTGGGCTCAACTCAGTAAGCCGGGGAGACAGGCGGTTTTTACCAGGGTTGGACCGGTGCTAAGAGAGCGCGTCCAAAATTTGTCTTTTGCAGTTTGCCTCTTTCAGGAGTGGGTTCGAAAAGAGGAGTCATTCAGCGGCACCCTGACATGACACATCTTTTCTTGGCAGGTATGGGGGACGTTTAAGGAATGGCGCGTAAGAATCTGGAAAATGTCAAAGGGGCTCTTGCAAAAGGATCCTTAATCCTCTAGCTGTACCTCCATGCTCTAGTAGGGGGAAACCTTCCTTGGGTTGTCTGCCATCAATAAAGGCTCTCTTTGGGCTTGTGCGCAAACGCTAGGAACACACACACATGAGCCTTGGTTTCCTCTCAGGTTCATTTTGCAAGCGCAGGAAAAAAATGTACCAATTCCAAAAAGGCGCACGGACATGTTCAAGCCACCGGTCTAGTTACAGCGATGAAAAGACAAGAGGCCACCCCCACAACAATCAACAGAAAAGACCATGTGTGAGGTTCAGGTTGGTTGTGTCGCAGTTGCATTCCGCCATCCATCGATGCAATGTGAAGACCATGGGTCACCGTCGAATGGGAAGAGCACGTGATAGGTCACTGGGTTGGGCTGTGATGCGCGTGATCAATGTTCCTGGCCCCAACATGGCATATAACTGCTTGCAATTTGGTGAACGTCATCTTTCTTGGGTGGTTTCCCCGATCCCCATGTCTTACGGACCTTGTGATCAATCTCGCGGGTGTGAGCTTCAGATCTTCAGGCGGGCTCTGCGGCGCTGCTCTACTTCCTCTTTGAGGGAGGGCCCTGCCACTGGACGCGCCTGGCGGCGCTTTGGCTTAGAGCGAGCCGTTGGTTCAGCTCGGTCCAGACCTCAACCCGACATCCGACCACCGCCGAAGAAAGAAAAACAACGAGATGTTTAGGTCCGCGTTCCGTGTTTGTGGTTGGAACACTTGCACGGAGTTGGGGGCAAAGATGTTGGTTGAAAACGGGTTTCTCGTATCACGGGGCAAGAGTCTTGCGGTTGCCTCTAAGCGGAAACCTCGTGGGTGGTTTACGGATGGCTTCCCTCTAAACACACACAAACACACCCTGCTATCCCTGCTGTCGTGGGCGTGCTTGCGGCGAGGGCCGATTTGGTACCCCTTGAATGGAAACTAAACGGAAAGCCACGGTTTTGGGGGAACCCAAAAAACGACGCTCCCTTTGTTTTGTTTTCACATGCTAGTTTTAAGTGTAGTCTATCACGACCGGACATATACACACACATATCTATTTACTTATGTATACATATATATATATATGTAGATATACACACGTGTATGCAGATGTAGTTTCCCACAGACTTCCGCAAATGGAGGGTTTGGTCGCAAGCTTCGGGAAGGCTGACATGGGGATTTGATCGTCGGCTCATATTGGATGCAGCCCAGGAGACCTACTACCTGATCGTGTGCCTCACCATTTGCAGCCTGTGCCTCGCAGTGGAGCGCCGGTAAGGCTCGTTATTCCTAGAATGTCTGCTCGCCAGCCCCTGACTTCTCTCAGGTGTGTCCAAAAATGCATTTTAGCAGCAGACAATTAAGTTTGCCAATGTGCTTGTTTGGGGTGGGCCCCTGTCAGTTTTGCAGGTAAAAAGTAAGTGGGGAAGAGGCAACTGGGCAAAGCCTGTAAATTACTAGAGTTTGTAGCTGGCTGGGAACTTACGGGCGTCAATTCATATTCGGGAACCTTTGGCGAGAAAAATGTGTTGCGTTTTGCATAGCGTTCATTGGGCCATGGCATTGGCCGGGTTGGTTTTGTTTGGTTGAGGGCGCAACATGTCCCAGCATCACCTGGACCCTTTTGGGGCCGTCACAGCAACTGAGCAGCTGCATGAGTTTCATGTTCCGTGGCGCATCGTGGCGCCAATTTGAGTTCATTGAGGCTGAGGGTTTGGTGGCTCTGGAGTTTTCCCCATGAACATCCGGAGGTTGGGTCGATTTGGTTGGATTTGTATGATATCTTTGCGGCCTCCCGTTTTGAACACTGTCAAAATAAGTTCCAAAAGAACAAGACGCATGTTTGCTATTGTTTTGATGTTTTGGTTGACCCCCCCTTTTTGCCCGCTGGAACTCCACTGGGTTTGGCTAGCCATCTTCTGTTGGGGGTACTTGGTATCCCTGGCCCCTTGGCTCTGGCTAGCACCAGAACTCAATCTATATTACTCAGAATGAAGAAAACCATCGGGTTTGTTCATAAACTCAGTTGTCCAAAAGCGAATGGACCTTTCGAACCTTTTGGTTTCCCCCTCTTGGTCCATTGTTAATGAAGGGCCCATGGGGCAGCTGAGCCTTGATCAATCGATGTATTCAGTGGAGCGTTGGCTGCCCCAACAACCTCCATATGTGAATTCGTGTAAACCAACCTGAAAAAGGGGCCAACCAAACCTGAAAGAAAGGGGTAACAAAGCAACACAAAGCACCAACTTGGAAAGAGCCACGCAAAAATCAAGAACCGATTTGAAACGTGAAAGGGCAGAGGCAGCGCCAACCTGACACAGGCAACCGAGCACCAAACCAACCGCCCCGTGAAAAAAATGTCGAGGAAGACCAACCTAAAGGTGGCCACGTCCCAGAGCTTCCAAGCTGAAATGAAGATGTGTTCTGTTCCCCCAGTTGTTTTATGTTGTTTCTCACGGGATTTTTTTTGTTTTTTCCAAGGGAATGTTTTATGTTGTTTTTCCAAGGGAATCGGTGTCGCCATGGGATTTTCCACCAAATCTCCAGTTCCCAAAAGAAGCCACAAGGAACAAAACCCGCCTGAAAACACAGAACGGCCAAAACCCACCTGAAAAAAATGGCAATCAACGCCAACCTGAAAATGGCCAAGAAAAGAAATATCCAGCGGGTTCCTGTTGTGTTTTCCCTGTTGGTTTTCAAACAATCTATCACCATATATATATATATATTTTTCCCCACCAGGGCAACAAAACAAAACAAGAGCCGACTTGAGGGTCATGACGGGGAGGGAGCCGGAGCCCCCGCTCCATTCCGCAGCCCATTCTGCAGGGCTGCTCCAAAGATTCGAGTTTTGCATTCCCATTTGAAACATGTTGCTTTTTCAACCCCAAAATGAAGTTGGAACCCACCAAATTTACAAGTCGCAATGTGTTCCTGGGGTGCTTGTTTATCATGCATCCGGAGCCCTGTCTGAGGGCCTTGATCCTGGCGCTGAACCGCAACCTGGACGGCCGGGCGCAGGTGGCCTTCGACATCACCAGGCTGCTGGCGCTTCTGGTGGCCATGCCGCTGAGAGAAGCGGGAGAGACGGGGTGGGTGGTTTGGCACTGGGTCCCCCAGCAATTGGTTTAGGCCCACATATTTTGGGTGGATGTTGCTTGCCAGGGTTTTGTGGATTTGTAGCCTTAAAGGACCGGGGCCGAGCTCTTAAAGGACCGGGGCCGGGCCCTTTCTTACCCTTTCCTTTTTTGGTTGGCAGATCGAGGCTTCCCCTACTAAAATTTAGACGTCCTGAAAAAAGTTGGCACCAACTTAAAAACGGGGCGACGGCAACACGGGGAATGAGGGGGAACGGACCCGGTGAGAGACGGGAAGGTTGGATGGGTTGGATGGGTTGGATGGGTTGGATGGGTTGGATGGGTTGGATGGGTTGGATGGGTTGGATGGGTTGGATGGGTTGGATTGGTTGGATGGGTTGGATGGGTTGCAGAGGTGCATGTTGCCAAGGGATGTCAGGACTGAAAAACTGTTTGCCGTAACTAATTTGGGTTTTCCGTATTAAACCACGAAAATAAAGTGTCACTTTTCGCAGGGAGTCACAGATTTCGCCACCGAGCTTGGATGGGTTGGATGGGTGCAATAGAGATGTCAGACAAAACGTCTACCAACTGGTGGTTAACCCTCAGGGTTGTGGGATCAAGGGTTTTCTCCCCACTTCTGTGATACAAGGAAATTCCCCTTTTATATGAACAAAATAGTCTTTGGGAAGCCCTTTCTGTTGTATCGCAGAAGTGGATTCCATTCCCCACAGCCCTGTTAACCAACTTGGTTGGTGGATTGGTGGATTAACCAACTTGATAATGTAAAAGGGTTTTCCTGTAATCATCTAAGTTTGGTCTTAAATCTTCGAATGATAAAGTACCCCACGGGCCATTTAGGCCCACATATTTTGGGTGGATGCTGCTTGCCAGGGTTTTGTGGATGTGTAGCATTCCAGACTTCAACTCAACCACGGAAATCTTCAAGACAGGACCCCCCAGAATGAGTGGCGTCCCTAAGGTGTCTCCTCAATCCCACAAGGTACCGTCCAAAAAAGACACTCATTGAAAATTTTCGTAGAGGGCGCAGGGACGCCAGAGAGAGGTTTGGCAGCTTTCTTTTCCTGGGTGTTTGTTTCTGCTGAGGGTAGGTACTGTGCCAACTTTTGCAAATTTCACAAGGGAAAACATGCTTGCCGCCAATTGTTCGGCGACCACATCCTGAAAATATGTTTCCCTTTCAAGGGTTCCAGAGCCGATGGGCAACGGGTGTTTTGAGAGCATAGAGCGCATGCTATGAGTTGAAAGGGGCGCACAGCATCCTCAAGACTTGCTCACAAAGAGCAAATCGACTTTTCACCTGTTGCTGTTCGGATTTATTTCCCGAGGGTTGTAGTCTGCCGGTTTCAGCACCGCCCTCCCTTCCCATTTTGAGCCTGGTGGCGGTAGGGTCGGCCAAGTTCGTCAGTGAGTTCCCCCTCTGTCGTAATCAAAAGACAGAATAGTGTGCTTAATTGTTTAATCACTTCTCTTCTTTTGGCCTAGTGGGAGCCAAGGGAACCACCCTTTACAAACCAAAAAGGAACTTGGCTTGCAAGAAACGTATAGCCTACTCAACTTCCACAGTCGGAACCAAGGGAACCACCCCTGCATACAAAAGTGTCTTGGGGACCCACTAAGCTGCTAACTTGGCCGGCCGATGGGGCCTTCAGCGAGTGCTGAGGAGAATCTACGTGAGCGCGGTGAGCCTCACGAATCTGAAGCCGCCGCTGGATGGATCCATCGATCGAACGCGGGTTTTGGTTTTGGTGGTCAGGGTGTGGGGAGTTCTTACTCGCCCTCGGCGAGTTTGGGTTCAGCCAATTTGTTGGAGGTACCTCCAAAAGTGGTCGGGATGCGGGAGGTTGACCCCGGATGAAGTGAAACCAACCCGTTTAGTCATATGGGGGGGTTCCCTTGAGAAAGAAAAATAAGAATCCCCACCAAAACCAGGGACACCCCCCCATATTCATAAACAGGGGTTTATGAATCTGCAGTCGACACGAAGAAGCCCTCAGCCCGTGAGCTTGGGTTCCTGAGCCATTTCCCTGTTTGGGTTACCTCCAAAGGTGGATCGTTTCAAGGGAAACCGCCAGTGAATCGATCAACTGTTGATTCGTAACATGTTTACGTTCCCCCTTGTTGGTTTCAAAGGGAATCGATTCCACTGCTGGAAATACGTTCTCGTCTTTTCCAGAAGGCGAAGAAGCAAGTGGAATTTACCCCTGAGGCCTTTGAGGTGCCCTTGGGTAAGCGCGCCACCGGTCCGGGAAGCCATGAGGATGGCTCCGTTTGAGTTAAATGATTAAAGGGAGCCGCCCATTTTTCGGGGGTGCCCCTATGGCCTGTTGCATGCCCAGATGCATGCGGCTCCTGTTTGTTGAGTTGGTAGCCTCTCAGGGATTGCGAACAACGGCAGGAACCATTCGTTGTGCAGAACCCTCCCCCCTTTGCCCACAAACCCGAATGGCGCAAAGAACTCTACAGCGATTTCGAATCAGTTCGAGAAACACGTCGGAAACGCCCACACCGAATGTTCCTGGTTGCGGGAAGTAAGGTTGTAGTGCATCGATAGTTCCAAAGGAGCCCTGCTTCAAAGTGGCAAAGTGGCAAGAGGAATGGCTCAGCACTTTGGGGAATTCATGCAAAAGAAGCAAGCCCTCCGAAGGATCGTCCGAAGAACTCCAGCTTTAGCCATCTTCACCCGTCTTGGGTGGTGTTGAACGTCGCCTGGGCCGATCTAAGGCGAGTCTTGATTTTGCCCAACTGACTGAAAGCTATGGGACCTCTGCCCAAGTAGGTGGTTTGGAGCATCTTTCAGGGAGGGTTCCGGATTTTGTGCTAGGGGGTTCCAGCCGGCTGCTTTTAAAGGGGTGAGGCTGCAGGCCTGGCTTGAGTATTGCCTTGGCATCGGAGTTGAACGTTACTTTTTGACACAGCAAGAAAGCTTTGGGAACACCTCCAACCCAAACCACCGAGCGGGAATCTCATATATATATGGCACCCAAGGGACGACCAGTTTTTGGCTGACGGGTTCAAAGTCAAGCTTTCAGCATCTCATGGTTCACAAGATCTTGATTGCTATTGGCTCTGACTGTTTGGTTGAAACCAAGGGTTTTCCATTTCAACCACAAAACAATTATTCACTTTTTGCAAAGTGGTCCTTACAGCAACCAAGATGGTTTACAAACAGCTCGCCTGGATTCTTCCATTTGGTCTTTCGCCCCCTTGAAAAAATCTGAAAATGTTTCCAGTAGCTTTTAAAACCAGAACATCTTCCCCTTACTCCAAATACACACTTTTCCAGGCTATTTTTTCGGAAAACCAGGTTTTTCCAAGGTAAATACCTCCTTTTTAGTAGAGGGTCGACATGATACCCTAGAGTTGGGGGTTCAGAAGGATGAAAGTTGCTTGCGCCTTTTGACCGAGGTTTTACGCCGTGGGGGACCAGCGCCCCTTCGCAGCGGGCCAGATGACCATTTCGGACGACAATAGGCAGACGCCGTCATTTGCTTGAGAATATGTTATCCTCGGCCCCTTTTTCCAGGTCAAGACGAAACCGCCTAGGAATTCACCCCACAATTTCGGGGCTATAACCAATTTTTGAGGGTATTTACTTTGGTGCATGTTGCTTGGGATCTTAGGACTGTAAAACTTTTGGCCAACGAATGGAAACTTTCATGAAGCCACTAAAAGAAAAACAAACTTTGAGCAGGGGAGCAGGAAGCAACCGAGTTATAGTTCCCTTCCCTAAGGCCCGATTGTCTTTGGGCCCTCAAAATGGGTTGTTTTCAATTGCCCCTGAGGGGTCCCTTTGGTGAATTTTGCCAAGGGATGTTAGGACTTTAACTTTTTGCCAACGAATTGGTTTTCCATTCAACCAGTACGAGTTAAACTTTTAGGAGGGGAGCAGAAAGCAACCGACTTCTATTTCCCTCGTTGGCTTAACGGGAATCTATCAGTACTGGATATTTGCTTCATTTTCCCTGGGGACTTAAGCAAATGAAGGAACGCAAGGCCGAGTTTTGGGCTTGACAGGGTCGCAGGGCAGGGTGGGTGAATGGGCTGAACATCCACGCTGGTTTTGGGTGAGTTTCTTCTTGGTGCTTTGGGAACTCCAAGGCCAAGTCCCAGCTTCCATTTTCTTAACACTACGGTGTTTTGTTCCCCCATTTTCCCACTGTCAAGTCTTGAAGGGAGTCTATGACAACTACAGGATGCTTCCTTCTTAAGCAAATGGATGACATGGGCGTGTCTTTTTGTTGATGGTACCCTTTTGCGGGGCTCAAGGGAAGCCAACAAAAAAGAACTGCCATTTTGGGGTGCTGAAGATGGCAAGCCGATAGGGCGAGCGAGAGGGCGAGAGAGAGTCAGGTTTGGATTAGTGGGGTTTGCATTGATGGATGCCCCTAGCATTTCGCAAGCAAAACGACAACACACACACACACAGAGCCATGGTAAACTGTGTAAAGAACAGACCACAAGATAGGGATCAGATGACCTATATATTATTGAAAGGTTTTGACTGTGCGATGGAAGTTGCGTAAGGCACTCCACCGCGGCAAGCCCCGCCCGGGAACGTTTGGGGGTGATTATGTAAACAAAAATGCCCATACGCCCCTCCCCCCCCCCCCCCCGCCACCAACGCACTTCCAGGTTGGTTTGTTCTAGTCTTCAAGGGGGGTGGTGTTGGTTTGGAGTGCAAAGGGAAATGTGGGGAGCCCACCTGCCTTCGTTGGACCGGATCCTACTTCCCCCGGGATGCTTTGATGATTCCTCTAGCTCTCCATACCCAAGAAATTGTTGAGGCGAAAAGAACCACCAAACACAGGGTCGGTCGCAAAATCACTCAAGCACCCGCTAATATATAGAGGGCGTCCTTGATTGCAGAAGCTCTTTGGATGCGCTGAAACCCTTCTTTTTCTCTTCGCTTTTTGGAAGATAAAGCCCTTTATACACCCTAGTGTTCAACCCCCATACACTGGTTGACCCAATTTAGACGAACCCCCTAAAGCAAACGCGTGAAACGTGGCCATGACTCAAACCCCCCCGCCCCCCGCCCCCAAAACCCCTCCAATGGAGAGAACATCCCAGGGCGCCTCTCAGGGCTGGCTGAAGGTTCTCGCGGTCGTCCGCTCGAGTCGTGCGCGCGGCGCATCGGGGTCCCAACTCGGCAGTTTGATGGCGCACCGCGTGGTGCAGCAGCTTGAGACGCCGGGAGGCCCAGAGGATGTCTTTTCCCCCGCTTTCCGAATTTCCCGCTGCGCCGCGTCAGACGCTGCCGAGTCTTTTTTGGGGGTTCCTGGTCCCAGGTCCTTTGAAGTATACATGTTGGCCAACTCGAAAACCACAAAAACTCCAGGCGTTGGAAAGGGTGTCTAGATCTATGGGTGATTTTTGGGTGTATCCTTGAAGGGTTTTGGTTGGGTATGGCTTAGGCATCACCTCTTCGGGTCAATTAACAGAGTAGAAAGGTTGCTGCACGTTCTACAAGATAGCTCCTGACGAAGGAGCAATCAGGCTGTGAAGGGCCACCATATTAAATGTATCTTCATTTACCGAGTTTACTCAGATGAACGTTTGGCAATCGCTCGGGGGATTGGTGGTCGCGGAAACTGTGTTGCCAATATGTTGTTTTATGCGGCTGTTGTTACTGCATGTTATAATGTGTTTTTGTAGTTTGATAATGCTGGCGAAATCCTGCACCACCTAAGAAGTCCTGAGAAGATGTTTCCCCGGTAAATCCTAACCAATAATGGTTTCCCATGGTTGTCAAGTGGTGCGAAATGGATCCATCCACAGTACCACCGCCTCTGAGCCGGGAGTTAGTAAGTGGTTACCCACCTGGGTTATAACCCACCAAGTTCACTTGACGGAAAGGGGAACTTAAATGGCGATCTATCAGCTAGGTTCCCGGCAAGTTGCCAACGTGGCGAATCAATGTTTGCCAAGCCCAGGATTCAAACCCCGGCTTCTGGTTTTATCAAGGTGTTTAGGGGCAGTTTTGGAGAAATCGGGTAACCCTGCGGATTGGGAGATGAACATGGAATCCAGAAGGCTACCATAGAGGAAACCTTTTGGGAAATGGACCTCCTTTTTGCTTTCCTGCCATTTTGTGGGAGAAAAAGCGAAATCAATCCAACACCAATCCTGTACAAAACCCCGCACACATCCCAGCCCAAAGTTCAACATCACGCAGCCCCTGGACCCAAACCCAACAAAAGCGCTTTATGCCGACACCGAGGGCCCCCAAAACGGGCTGCATCCATTTCATTTGTCCCTTTCCCGTTCAAACAGTTTAAAAAAAAAAAGCTCTGGTGATATCCCCAACAGCATGCGACACCCCGCAGCCCTCGCAGAACCTCGTGGAACCCTTGTGGAACCCTCGTGGAACCCTCGTGGAACCCTCGTGGAACCCTCGTGGAACCCTCGTGGAACCCTCGTGGCACCTGGTGGAACCCTGGTGGAACCCTCGTGGAACCTTACCTCAGGGCCGCCCCGGACCACCCCGAACCCTATCTGGGCTGAGACCCCAAAGCTGTCAGCTGTTGGGGAAAAAATGCAAGTGAGGAGCCCCGAAGAGCCGTCTCAGGCATTTGACGCACCTCATCATCCAGCGGGAGACAGGGATTCTCCACCCCAAGGCATGGTGGTGGGAAGCGCGTACAAAGATCCCCTGGTGATTGATCGGTTGGTGGGGCATCGCTAGGTTTTGGAACCAGGGCATTTTGTGGGTTGTCCTTGGTTTTCCTTGTTCACGGTAAGTGTCCCAGTAGACTTGCAAAAAATCAGATTTTCCTTGGTTTTCCTGCAAGGATGCCCAGGATTTCACAATGTTCATAAAGCCCGGTGTCGGTGCCCCAAAAGAAGGGGGAAACGAATCAGAGTTCGCATCCAGTGGATTCCATACTTTTTGGGTGCATGCACCCCCCCGATTTCAACGACTTCCTGAAAGCCTCAGAAAGTGTTTTCCCACGAAGCATCGTCGTAAAGGGTGACAAGGAAACCACCGACATCTGGGCTCCCCTATTTGGGTCACACAAGTGGTTCAAATCTAATCTATATCTCGAGACATGCATACGCATAATATACGTGCTGCAATCCACAAATGCACGCGTACATCAATCTGGCATCCACTTCACTGTTTGTTGGACGCTCAATCTTTAAATTGTTGGGTTCGGGGGTGCTGCAAAAAAGGTGTTGCAATTGGGGATGGTCCAAGGCAAAATGTTCTCTATATTCAGAGAAGTCACCTTATGCCCAGGCAGCAGCAAGGGCGCGCCCTTTATATGCAGTGCGTGTTGGCTCGTCTCATAGTATAGATGCCTTCAATTAAGTGGTGGCAGTGGAACCGTAAATGAGGATACAGTATGCTTGGGTGATGGTTTGCATGGGTTTGGCGTTTTCTAGGGGACCCCCCCCCCCAAACCTGGTGACTTTCTCAGGGTTTCCGACAAGGGGTGCCACACAAAAGGACACACCCACCTCCACCTTTGCCCGAAACCAAAGCCTCAGTAAGTGAGCATTCCAAAGTCAAAGCCTTCTTTACAATTCCTTCGGCGTTTGTGGGTCAGCTTCCTTGACACGGCAAACTATTGGGCGCCCCTTCTCTTCGGAGCCCCGCAAAACGTGTTTCCTGTTGGTTTGGATTTTTTACCACAAAAGAAAAGGGGGTAGCCTTAAAATGTGCTCGTGCAGACACAAATTTGTCCAGAATCATGGCTGTTGTCGGGACACATGTTACATGTTTGCTTATTGTGGTTTAGTGGTTGAAATCCAGCCACTTAACTGCTAACACATGATAATTTTTGCTCCCCAAACCCAACGTCAACCAAGGAATGGGAAGGGAAGGAAGCCGCCAGGTCTTTCCCGTGGTACTACTCCCGCTGCTGTTTTTGCAGCAGCCTCTCGGGCTCAACTGGGCTTCCCGCTGACAGGATGAGCTCCACTGAACGGGGGGACTGATAAGTGGGTTACCACCTGCTACGACTTAATGGAGGGGGGTGTCACTGGGTTTAGTGGAATCAGCACCTTTGGTAAAATTGACTACAAAAAAACGTTGGCACCCTTATTCTATCCTCTCTACTGGAGGACCTAGTTAGAGTGCGCCTCAGTGCAACCTAGCCTGTTGGAAGCGGCTTGTGCTGGCCAGAGGCCCTCGTCCCAGTGAACACTCTCCTTCTCCCCCGGGGTTCACGAGGGTTTTTTTTCCTCACGAAATATTTGCCGCAGTCGGGGCAACGGACGGAGTCAGCCATGCGTTTCCACGTTCACATGCCTAAGGCCTTGTGGGCAGAAACGGGAACACATTGCCAAGGGATCAGGGTCCCTTGTCCCCGCATTGAGCTTCTCTACAGTTTGGAACATCAGCGTCTGTCGCATGTGGGCCAGCTTTTCCTTTGTTTCCCCCATGAAAACGGCATATCTAGAAGTTTGTGGTTTTGTTGTTGGTACCCTTTTCGGGGCTGCTTAAATCAAAGCTTTCACCACTCACCACCCTTTCCATAGCGTAGCCCACACCCCCAATATAGGTCTGGGGCAATCAGTGAAGGGCCGAAGGTCACCCAACCCCGGGCCAGGGTCGCAGGTAGATCCAGCCCGATCCCTTCACTTTGAAATGCTCTCCAGCTTTTCCAGCTGTGTCCGTTTTGGTAAGGAGGGGGGTGGGGGGAACCAACTGGCCGGAGATCCCTGTTTTCCAAGTCTCCACAACCCTTCGAGCGTCCGCTTCCATTGCTCCGCAGGCTTTTTGTGGTTCCATTTTTCGAGCGGTTTTTTGTCCTCCCTGAACTGAGGGAGTGTATCAGCTACTTTGGCATCGCCTGGGCCTTGTACTGGCCCGTGAAGGCCAGAAGGTTCTGTGGACGGAGGGGGACGGCCCATCTAAGCATGAACAGCAATCAACATCGAATACTGACAATGTATGTGCGTGTTGCAGACTCATTTGCAAACAAGACGGAATTATGTGCACATGTTAATATATATGCATGTATATATATATATATACATGTATACAGGCTTACATGAGTTGTTGCATGCATGCATGTATCAATTGAAATCAGCGAAGGGCCCTTTTATCCCAAGATCCAAGAAGGGCTTGATCTCAGTGTGAGGTAAAATCTGCTTGCCTGACTTTGAGAAACTGACTGGACGGAGCATCCCATGTGTTAACATTACCTTTTGATCCAATTCGAACTGAGTTTCCAGTCGATGGGGGGGGGTGATGTGTTTAGGTTGGAAGTGTGGGGTTGTGCATTGGTGGGCGCTTGAACCATTTTTGGGTTTGCTTTCATGTAGTTTGGCAGGGGGGCTTAGCTTTGCCCAACCCCAAGCCCGTTTTTGTGCTCCATTTCACCTATTGATACCTATTTAGACCTACTGTGGATGGACGAAATCCATTTCGCACCATATGGAAACCATGGGAAGCCATGGTTTGTTGGTGTTACCATGGGAAGCCATGGTTTGTTGGTATTTGCAGGGGGATTCCTCCTAGGGTTTCTTGTGTGGTGCCTAAGAGGATTTCGTCCATCCACAGTACCTAGGTAGACCTCTTTCGTCCGCTCCTTCCGCATCGCCAGGCCACCTGGATCATCTTGGTGGCCTTCTGGATGATCGTGGAGATCCCCCGCATCACGCGGCGCCTCCACACCTTGGCGGAGGCGAGGGAGATCGTGCAGGGCCCCTGGCCTTTTTTTTTCGTGGAAGCAGGCCAAACAGAAAACCTAAGTGGATATTTTTCATGTTTTTTAGCAGACCCCCCAAATAAAAATAGCGCCAGATATTCATGTGAAAATCAAGGGGCTGTGATTGCTTGCGCCAAACGGCAATCACATGTCTAGCATCCAAGCGGAACTTATGTTGTTTTAGAACCCATTTAAGGCTTGAACATCAGCGGATGTGTGGGTGACCCCTTAAATTTTTAAGGGGTCACCCACACATCGGCTGATTTTCAGTGTGAAATTAGATGGCAGGATTCCCTCAATCCCGGGCTTTCAGCTTGGGAGGTTTGGAGCCTAGTGGCATGCAAGTTTCGGGCAAGGCGCCGATCCACCCGATGGGAAGTGATGAGTTTTTGTCCTTGCCCACGACACAGGGACTCACTCCCTGAGTTGGACTTGAGTGACTTCGGGGTGGACCATTTTAGTTGTACACAGAAGGTTCGGTTATTTATACCCCATCCACTCGATCCGAAGTGAGTTGTGCCATCACGGCGACGTCGGATTCGCCAGGTGAAACAGCTGCTGACGCACCTCCTTCAGCACGGCGGGAACGGGGGGCGGTGTAAGCAGGCCTGAGCGGAATCCACTCGGATTCCACTTCTCCGATCCATTCCGGAGGATGGATCCAAAAAAACAAAAACGGAGCCTCACTCTGGTTGGATCATGTGTTTAGGCGTTGGTTTGTTTTTTGTTGTTGTTTGTTTTTACTCTTCTCTTTGCATTTATTGGGTGGCTGCGAAAAAGCCAAGTTGTTTTTCTACCATACCAAGGGGTCAAGGGGTGGAAAGAGATGAATATGCTACATTTTGCCGCGTACCCTTCTTCCGCAGCACCACACACCCCCAGTAAGGGCTATTTTCGAAGGTGGTCCTACTACCCGGGTTAATCTCTACGTCTATACCCCATGTATTATGTTCTTTCCTCCCATGTTGGTCAAAGTCCATGGGTTTGGGGCGCTGCCCCTTTGTCTTTACAAGATCTGCCCCGTAATTCGATCTCGCCCATTTGCTTAGCTGTATGTAAGTTCAGACCTAAGTGTTCCGTATTTGCGTGTGGCTTCTGTCGGGACTTTCCGGCGCCATCATTTGGCTTCCCAAGGGATATCAACCAGAGCGTTGAGATGGTTGCGCCACCGCGTGGAGTATGAATTGGTTGTTTTGCTGCTTTCCCCCTGCACCAGGAAAGGAAACCACAACACAAGTAAAAGAGAGGAAGCACATGGCAGCGGAATGACTTTGATCCTGCCGTCCGCTTGACAAGACCATGCCAGGGCTCTTGAAATGCCAGGCTTTGCAGTTCATATGAAAGCAGTCCTTTTGCTCGACGGGCCCCCACTGAAAACAGCTCTGATGCTTTTGCAGGGCGCCTCAAAGGATACCAAGCTGCGACCCTTGCAACATCAACCATCTTCCAGCTGAATTCGAGCTGCTCCCCTGCGTTTTTGGATCCCCGAAATTTAGATTGTGACACATGATGCCACCGAAGAAGGTGGCTAACAATTTGTCCTTGTGGTGTCTGAACCACACATGGGTGGGTTGAAATTTCCATTAATGGACTAGCAAGATCGTGATCGCTCCATTTTGACCAACCCAAAACTAATCCTAGCATATCATCACAAGGCGGTTTAGGCTAGATACTGAGTCTGGAGGTATATTTGGGGAACCCTGGGCCAAGAGTGGTTTTTACTGCCCCGAAACCAACATCTTCAGGGGGTGGTATGCAACCCCGATATAGATATGCACAAAACAAAAGGCGTGTAACCCATTTTCTCTGGGGTAGTGGCTTGGGGGTGGAACTCTCTTCCTGAGTTCCTGGATTTTAGTTACTTTTCGGGGATATGATTGTAGGTAGTAACTAACAAGTTTGCTTTTTGCTTTCATGCCCCTTTCATTCGTGTCTAGGGGTGTTATGCCCAACTCACTTCCAGAATTCCAGGACGTTCAAACTTTTGCGGATCGGAAGTGGGTAACCCAAGGGACCGAGAACCTCTGAGAAAGTGGGACGAAATTCTGCACGTGCATTGTTGGTATTCAAAGGGGAAGCACTATTCCCGGGTTTCTTCGCTGGTGCGAAATGGATTTCGTCCACCCACAGTATGCCCCTGTTTTCCGAGGGTTTGGGGTTCCATCAGGGAAGCTTTGGTGGTCGCTTCGGTTGCTAGGGTTCCCAGTGCCCTTCTCTCCAATTCTTTTTTGGTGAGGGTTCCCCTACTAAAAAGGGCTGCAAGAAAAATATTGGGCACCCTCATCTCTGGAGGACCTACTGTGGATGGACGAAATCCTGCACCACCTAAGAAACCCTGGAGTGATGAATCCCCTGTAAATACCAATGAACAAATGGTTGCCCCTGGTTTCCAAGTGGTGCAAAATTTGTCCATCCACGGTAGGTATACCCCCGACCCGCGGGTGGCCTTTGGCGTCGGCTCGCCGTGACGGGAGGTGACCGGGAGCTGATCCACGAGGTGTACCGCCGCGCCAACCTGGCGTCCCTGTTCCAGGCGCCGAGAAGCGCCCGACGTCCGCGCGCGGAACAAGCGGAAGTGTTTTTTTGAGACCAAAAAAGCTTCCCGACAAAAATGGTGCTCAGTTTTTTGTGTTGTGTGTTCTGCTTCTTGTTTCTAAAAGAGTGTTCAGTGTGTTTTTTTTGGTGTTTGGTGGCTTCCCTAGAAATGGTGAACCAAACAACAGCCGTTTTGGATTGACAGAGCTCCGGGACGCCGGTTGTCCCTTTTGGCTTCCCTTTAACCCCAAAGGTGCTGCCCTCAAGAAAAAATACACACCCAGCTTGGTGTTTTGATCAGGGCGTCAGCAGCTCGCCCGATCGGTGGGGTCGATTAAATTTCAATGTCCCTGACTTGGACCCCAACAGTAACTCATTGGACCCCAGCAATTCATCCGCTCGGGAACTGCAGGTTCGACCGTCAAAAAGCAGCCCGCACCATTCATTTGCCGATTTGATGGCGCCATGATAAAGGTCACTTATTGTTATTATTTATCTTTTTTTTTGGGGGGGGGGGTTGCCATTTTAGTGCATAACAAGTCCAGACTTGTTTTGGCCCAGCCACTCGGAAGTGAAGTGAGGGTTATGGGGATCCCTTTCAGCTGTGGGAATTGGTCCGCACGTCTAAGGGTGTTTGTAATACACCCTGGGAATACACCCACTTGGTATTGACCCCATTTAGTCACTTTTCCGGATAAAACTGTGTTGTTTTGAACCATTCTGGGTCATTTCCCAAGGGGAGCAGGCCACCACCTTCGAAGTCCACGAGCTCCTGGTGGAAGACGCCTTGAACCGAGGCCTGGGAAACGTAGGCCATGCGTAGCTTCTGCTCGCGTGTGGACCCGTTGCAAGAGAACCCCGTCACGCGGCGGATGGACATCATCTAACATCCATTTCGCACCACTTTGAAACCATGGTTGAATCCATGGCTTGTTGGTATTTGCAGGGAATCAATATTCCAGGGCTTCTTAGGTGGTGCTGGGTTTCGTGCATCCACAGTAAGTCCCCGTTCAGTGAAGATATCCCCGCCACAGGTACAGGGCTCCTATTGTCCTCTCGCAGAAAGACCATTGACATTGAGTGGGAGCGCGGGTGGCAGACAAGCTTGCAACCCAATTGGGGGGGGGTATAACTAGGTCCCCAGTAGTGTGCTTATACCCTTTTTTGGGGGAGGGTTCCAACAGCGGGCGTGCCGACGGGCTGACGCCGAGCAACCTTTGAAAGCGCTGGCCGGTCCGAGCCGCCGCCAGGGCTTCTGGATCCCTTCAGCAAAGCCATGCTCATCAATGCCGCTTGGCAACACGTTCATGCACGTGCGGCTGCCTTCCATTTGGTTAAGAAGATTTGTTATTTTCCCCTTTTGGTTTAAAGGGAACCTATCACTACTGGACATATTTGTATTTTTTTCCAGGGGACTTAAGCAAATGGAAGCTGGCCATTGGCCATTACTTGGATGTTCGGCCAAGTTAGGAAGTGGTGAGCTGCAAGCCATGCCAGGCTTAACCCCACTTAGCGCATAAGTTCGTTCTAACCCAGGTTCCCAACAACTTACATAGCCGAACATGCCAGGTGGACCGTGTTTCTCCCAATTTTTAGGGGAACTCTTCGTTCATCTCTTCGTTGCGCCTTGAGCTCCGAGGGCATGCAGAAGTACGGGGTGAACAACCGACGCCTGGACTATGTCCGAGCTCCGCGCCCAGTGTCCCGCGAGAGTTTTTTGGTGGATTTGTTTTTCATTTTTTTCTCAGGCGACTTGGAGGTAAGTCTAGCTTCAGGCAATCAAGTGGTCGCTTCGCACTTTTGGACGGTGGTGGAGTGAAACCCCGAGGATTTGATCAAAAGCTGCAAGAACTACGACCTCACGGTGCTGAAGAGCATCTTAGACAGACACTCGGCGCAATTGCACGTTGCATGTCGGATGGATGTCAATGGTTGGAACACCCAGAATGGAGCCCAACCACTCAATTTGTTTACACCCATTTGGGCGTGAGCTCTGTTTTTTCTTTTTTTTTTTTTTTTCTTTTTTTTTTTTAAAAATAAAAAAAATAAAATAAATAAAAAATACAAAATAAAAAAAATCCGGTGGCGCCTTCTTGGAAGTGCCCAAAGGCTGTGCCGCGCCTCAGGCACCGGGGATTACAACAGCTTGCACAAGTTGGTGTACAACGATATTCGCTGCAAGCGAACCCGTGAGGAGGCGCGCCTTAAGGGTCCACTCATTGTGGCCTGGGAGGGAGGGAAGGGGGGAGCCCACAGGCCTTTTGGGCTTCCGTTCCTCCCTTCCCAAAGGCCTTTTGGGCCCCCCCCCCTCCCCTCCCTCCCCTCCCCTCCCCTCCCCTCCCCTCCCCTCCCCTTCCTCCCCTTCCTCCCCTTCCTCCCCTCCCTCCCCTTCCTCCCCTTCCTCCCCCCCGCCCCCCCCGAGGCTCCATGAAATGATGTTTGGGCCAGGGCGATTCGGCAAACGAACTTTTCAGGTCCTCTACCACATCGCCCAGGAGGCGTCTGCGACGCGGAGCGGCTGGGGCCCAGTCGGCCTCAAGGCGGGCGCTGAGGTCTTCATGTGCATCTTACGGACAAACCTTCCCCAGAATTAGTTCCTTTTTGTTTTTTTGCTTTTTTGGGGTTCCCTTTGTTTTCCACTCACCAGGCAAAAAAGACTTTTTGGCGGGGGTCCTAATTCCAGCCAAGAACAATGGCGAACTACGGCAAATTAAGCGGAATTCCCTTGTTCCCTACTTGTAATATTTAGGGCACCCACTATATCATTTTCCCTATTCATACATGTTGTTATTTGCTGCTTTGTTGCCATGGATCTTGTGTGTTATGTAAACAAAGCATATGTTGTTTCAATGAACGGCTTGACCCAATGCAGGAAAGTTCTGTAGCTGGTTTCCATGACTGGTTTCTGTTGCCGCACTACGTAAAATGCCCTGCACATAGCAGGCCCTGAGCATTGGTTGCTCAGAGGTAGGAACACACCAGCCGTTCCTGGGCGGCCTGGGCTTTCAGTTTGTCAAGCTGTCATGTTAAAGCCAGTTGTCTTTTGTCATGCCATGTGGTGTTTTAGGGGACTCCAGGCTCTTCCAATTTCGAGGGCACCCAACTTGACCATTCTGGGCCATTTGGACTTGAGAGATTCTTTGGTGGCGAAAGATTGCAAAAGCTGAGGTAGGCGTGCGTTCTCACCCCATGGCTTGATGAATGCCAGGGTGGTGTGTTGTTTCCCTCAACATGGTCGTATGCACAGCCAGCTCGTGAAAATTCATTTGGCACTTAAAAGGATAAAGCAAAGAGCAACCAGGCATTGGGGGGCTTGAGGACGGCCGTCCTTTTAAGGCAAGGTTCCTGTTGTACCATCCTTCGAGAAGACAAAACAAAGAGGCAAGATTGGCCCAGCGGCTGCTCTGGAACGGCTTCGGAATCGCCGAGAAGTTTTTTTTGGATCGAGGATTTTTGTGGCTCCGGTGTGGATCCAAATTTCACCCCGGTGGGGTCATGTCGGGTCCAACGGGCTAACGAAACCAGAGCGGCATCAACCTGCGATCCCCTTCAGCAGACAAACCAAACAAAAGCCAAAAGGTAATGTGATTTTTTTCAGCTTTCCCAAGGACCCCTTCCTTGCAGAGAGTGAGGAATTTCAGGGCAAGTCCTTTTTTGCTTGGTCTTCAAACATGGCTTCCCTTTAAGCCAGCACCTTTTGAGGCGTAGCGCTCGCACCTCAAAACACATTGGGATCCATAGGTGGTGAGCGACATTGACGACACGCTGTTGTGCAGTGGCGCCCGGTTCCCTGCAGGCCGGGGTCTGGGGTGAGTTGGATTCTCGTTGGTTTCTCCTTGGTTTCAAGTTCCGGAGCTCGGACTTGAGTTACTTGAAATGGCTTGGAACAGTTTTTGTGGCAAGCAAAGCGTCACTTGTTGGGCAGACAAAACAGGCGACCTTTTTCTGAGGTCATTTTGGGGAGGGAGCCATGTTGGTAGCAAAGAAGGAGCTTGGTGACCCGCTTTTTTCCAACTCAGAGGGAAAAAAGGGGCGAGCGAGGCTTCCTTGGGCGCCGATCAAGCCTAAGGGGAGATACTGTGGGTGGACAAAATCCATTTCGCACCACTTGGAATCCATGGTTGAAACCATAAGGTTGGTTGGTATTTACAGGTGAATCATCATTCCAGGGTTTCTTTCGTGGTGCAGGATTTCGTCCACCCACAGTAGGTGATCTAAACACCCTCTCTCTCTAATGCACCAGGGTCCTTCGGTTCGCGTCACAGGTCTGGCGGGGTATCCTTTTAGGTTGGTTTGGTTAAACAGGGCTCCTTAAAAGATACATTTTGCAACCATTTGAAACATTGCTTTTTCCACCAACATTCAGGGACACCGCCATTGAGGCAATGTTCAGGTGTTTTTCACGTAAGGATCCCTGTTAATGGTTTCAGCTCGCTTCGTCGATATCCAGCAAGGGGATCTGAGGGTGAGTTGGCTGTCGGGGCCCTTCAAACCTCGGACTTTGGGCATTGTCCACCAACCACTTAGAGGAAAACCAAACTCTTAGCATCTATTTGATATCCCAGAGGCTCCTGGGGCTTTCAATGGAAGACCCGACCCCTCCATTAGACACCCCGGAGGTGGTTGGGGGTCTCAAAACTGGCGGTTTGAGGGCCCAAGAAACATCGGGAGCCTCTGGGATTTGTAATTTTCCCTTTTTGGTTTTAAAGGGAACTGATTAAAAGGTCCCTGTTCAAAAAGGATATGTTGGTTGTTGTCTGGATTTTTGTCGCTGGGTATACGGTTGTATTTCCAGGGGGCGAAAAGCAACTGGACGATTGGGGGCTGTCCAAATTACAGTTGGGCCGAGATTCCAGTAGCACAGTTTTTGGCGGTTCCAGGCCATCACCTTGGGTTTCGGTTTTCAGGGGGGGCCTCCATCTAAACCAGGGGATCTGAGGACGGCCCAGAACTTCGCTGGGGCAATTATTTGGGCTCTCTTGCTAAAATGCCCAGAACAAGGAGTGGGGGGCGGCATCCTGTAAAACCGTTCTAGCTGAGGGAGCGCGCCGAGACAAACAGGTGTCAGCTTGACAGTGCTCTTTGCGTTTGGGGTTGGCTAAAGCAAAATCAAGAGTTGCTGATTAAGCTGAGAACGGTGAGCATCCGAGGCCATGGCAGGCCCTCGGACGTAACTTTTCCAGAGCGTTCCTCAAAACCCCGGGGGCCCCTTTTCGGGTTAAGAGGAAGCCGCCTAAACCCTCAAGCTACCCTCAGAAAATCTGACTTCCCTCACAATTTTGGGGCCTACCAATTTTTAGGCATAAGGAAACCCATTTGAGGGCCTACCAACTTTGGGGCCTACCAATTTTTAGGGTAATAAATTTGGGTCCAGGCACAAGGGGCTCCCAACCACACCAAGAATTCGGGAGAAACATCCCCGCGCCTCAAGCTCGAATCTTGATCCCAAAAGCAGAGCGCCACGTAGGCTGCGATTCAAGGACGGGGCCGGGGAGAGGCGTGGAGCTGTGGATGGCTCAGGCAAACACGTCCACATGGGTGTTTCTTAGCCCCCCCCCCAAACAACAAAAAAGAAGCAAGCAAAAACAATCGAAAACAAAAACAACACAAAACCAATTGGCACATACTAACATAGACAAACAGAAAACAAATGTGCACAGAGTCCCTTGGAAGCTGGCCAAACAGGGCCATCGAATTTTGAGATAGACCAGGGTGTGGTGACGACAGTATTTAGGTGGGGATTGATGTTCATCTCCCACTTGTGAGGGGTGTCCCATTAGTTCATTTAAATAATATGTTTCCTGTTGGTGTTGAAGGGGATCCACCTGACATTGCTTGTCCAGGGAACCTATCAGCACATTGTTTGGTGGTAAGCCAACAGCTTGGCCTTGCTTTTGCCAATCCACTCAATCCAACCTGATGGGAAGCCCCGATGGGAAGCAAGGGCCCAGCTACGGAAGTAAATGGAGGCACTTGAATTCATAGCCACTGTATGTTTTAACACCCCTGTGGAGATCCTGTCGCTCAAAATTGGCAGCCGGGGGGAGGGGGCGTGGGCTTTCTTGGTGGTTGTTGGAAGACCGCGCCATGTCTCTAAGTGGAAGAAAGCCGCACATCATTTCAAAGAAACGATCCTTCCCTCCACTTCACCTTAGCTGAAGCACCGCTGGTGCTCAGTAGGGAATGAGGGAAGGATCCCAGGCATTTGTCCCCGAATGCAGGAAACCACCCAGGGATGGTCTGTCTTGGGGTCAGACTCCATTTTTCTCATTCTCTATCTGGGTCGCCCAGTAGTGCCCTTTTACCCCTTTTTTGGGGGAGTACTAAAATAGACTACAGAACAAAAAGGGTACCCTTCTTCCAACCTCTCTACTGGAGGACCTAGCTCTTACACCGATGGCAAGTCCTTTTTGCCAGGATCCCGCGGCACATGGTGTACCCCGGCTGCCTGCAGCTCTTCAAGGAGCTCGACAGGAGCGCCCTCCTCCCCACCCGGCAAAACCCGTCGCGTTGCCTTCGGAACCTGTGGATGGCAAGGCGCGTCATCCAAACCGCGCAAAGGGAAACCATGGGCGGAAATCAGAAGGTCTGTTGGTATTTACACGGGAATCGTATCACGTACACACAAGAACCGTAGTTGCCATGTCCCGGCGCTGAGTGAAGGCACGGAGGGGAGGGGGAATCATGCAAGGAGGGTTCGGGGGGAGGGGGGAGGGGGCGAGGCACCATGCTCACTACGTACATCACTCAACCTTTGATCGAAAGAAACACTGGTCCAAAGGGGGCAATCATCATTCAGGTTCCGCCCTGGAACGTTATGCACCTTCCTTTGTTGCATCCCCAGGGCAAATGCTACTTGGGATGTGACGATTCCTTGGGTCTCCAACTGGCGACGTATGTGGAGGTGCAAGGTGATTCCTTGGGTGGTTTGGGGAAACGGCCCGGCCCATGCTTTGCTCTCTTCCTTTTGCTTAGTAACTGTGTTACTTTCCTTTGTGAGTTTATGATTATGCTGGAAATACGTATCCGCAAATGGACAGGTTTACCTTGACTGGTGGTTGAATTGGTGGCTTGGATTCGGATTTGAACCCCCTGCTTCTGGTGGGCAGATGGGAAACCACTCCGTTTCACCGAGAAAAGCCACCGCTTCAGCTCCAAACCGCCAATTGCATTTCTGGCCGAAGGCCACTTTTGTCCGGTCATGGATAGGGCTTGCATCACAAGAGGGTGCAGGTCAATGGAGATTCAAAAAATAGGGCTGCGGGTGAAATGATGGGCCAATGGGCAATGGAAACTCAGTTGTTTAGTCGCAACCTTTCTCCCTTCTTTTTTGCTGGCTGCCCCACCAAAAATGGTTTTGAACCCAAAGAGGGTTCCCTTTTTCTCCAGGGTCACTGAACTGAGGAAAGAACTCCTGAAGCCCTGTCGAGGAGCTGGAACGCCGACGAGCCCAGCTCCAACCTGGTCTTTCTGTCTGCACGACCCCACGTCTACAAGGACCACGAGGGTCCCCGAGGGGGTCGTACTCCATTGGCAGTCTCTTGGGCAATTTTTAGTAAGAGGTGCCAAAAGGTTAACCTTTTAGTTCTGAGTCCTTTGGGCAACTGAGTATTAGTGCATGGTAGTCCCCTGGTGCTTTTAGCAGTGCTACCAGGTACCCTCCCAGCCAACATGGAAGTGCACAGACCCCTGTAGAAAGACGACCTTCCTCTTTGAAAGGGCCTTTTTGCACTTCCATGTTAGTTGGTGGGGGGGTACTTCTGCAGGTTCGCAATGAACCTGACGATTGACGTAGGGGGCCACAGAAGATCACAAAACTGCCCACGGGAGGGTATTCAAACCTAGACACTCATCAGACCCCCGGCCCACAGCCTACTTTTGGCCAATGGGATTGCCGTGATCTAGACGGGGTCAAGAGCTGGTTTGACTGACCCAGTGAATTCCAGTTACCCTCATAGTGGGAAACCAGCCATTTTCCTTTTGACTTTTCAAGGGTGGTTCCCCTTTGTTACGCGCATGGATGCATTGGGTAAGGCTTGAACAATTGGAGAGGTGTGCCAATTTGGGATGGGGCATTTGAGTCATTAGCTCCACCTCACAACTTGGAAGGGGAATTGGGGGCATGAGCGAGCAGCCTCTTGCCAGAGTCGTTTCCTTTCCTGCCTCGGCATTTTTTGTTCATCAGCATTCTTGACTCTCGCTGGAATTGTCTGCTGAAAGCAGGCTCGGCAAATATTTCAGCCGACGCAATTTCTGTCTGTATTTCAGCCTGCCTGAGGTGTAGTTAGTTTCGCTCAGTTGGGACGACTCATGGGTTTTGAGGAACCCATGTAAATTTGGCATGTCCAGTCCGTGCCCAGAGACCAACCCCGGCGAGAAGCAAAATGGTGGGGGACTTATTTCCGGGGATGGGCTCCAACGGCGAGAATTCGAGCGCATGATTTTTCCCACATTAACATGGAACCCAGAAAACACCCACTTGAGAGGAAACTGCGCTTAGGGGAGACCCGTTTTTTGGGTTCCATGTTATTGGTTTGCAGGGGGGCATTCAGACTCGTATTTACAACATCTAGTACCGATTTAGTATTGGTTGCGTGCGGGTTAAAACATACCCTGGGGTTCGGGGGCCTTAAAAAGAAAGGCCTTTAGGAATCGGCCGTGAAATGTGGGGAACGTCCTTTGTTTGCAAGCTGGACGCTTTTAATTGGGTTGACAGTTTTGTGTTGGCCGCATTAGTAGCCACATGGCTTTGCAGTGCTTGTGGCTGAAAGTACGCTTTCCGAAGCCTCTCGAAAACCATGTAGACATGTTGAAGCTGGTCAATGCTCAAGGTCTTCAACCTTGTGGGATTTCTAGAGACATTGATCATGGGCTTAGCAATGGGAAATCGACAAGGGAAAAGCGTGAAAATACTGTGAACTTGGCGTGAACACCCTTTTTTTGCAGTGAAAGACCGTGAAACGCCGTGAAATTTGGCAGGCGAAAAACCACTCGCATTCGTCCTGGCTGGCGTTGTTTTCTGCTGGGTTTGAAATGGTCTTGCTGAATGGATGTTTCGGGAAGACCATGATTGTTCCATTGATGATGCAGAAATGTGCTGCTTTAACGTTGAGGCCTTCGCAAGTCTAGCTTGGTGTGGAAAAGGCTTGTTGCTGACGATGTAAAGTTGGAATTCCACCCAGGCCCCCATCCCCCAGATAGTCAAACAAAGGATGTTCATGTAACGGCCTTTGTTTTAAAAGCCTTTTACCCCCCAGGGCATAATTATTGATTCAGCATAGGTTGTAGTGTTGGCAGAGGGGTGGCGGATAATGTGCTTGATTCTGGGGACCTCTGCTTGCTGGTGCTCAGCATAGGGAATGTGAGAATGAACCCAGGCTTTGGCACCCGAAGAAAGGAAACCACCAGCAAGGGATGGTTGTTCTTGGGGTCATTCCATTTCTCATTCTCTGAGGAGCAAGCACGGACGGTCCCAGCTCAACAGGAATGTGTCTGTGGTAGTTTTAGGGGTCTTGGTTCAAGGGGCAACGCTTCCCGGGTCTGTAGGTTTTGGGGACCTCTATCTTAGACAAAGACGAGTGCAGACGCAGAAACCGACCGTTTCGGCGCCAGGACTTGTCCGAGAGCAAGGCGTGGGGCTGGGCTTGGTCGCTGTGTCAAGACGCATTCATGTTGCCTCATTGCCTGGGTTCCTGGACTTGTTAAGCTTTTTGGTTTGGACCATGTTAGTCGTAAGTATAGGGCTCAGAGTTGTTTTGGCCAATCCACCCAGGAAGAGAGTTGCAGATGGCTGCGGTCTTTCCGCGTCAGCTGATGTAAGGCGCAATCCAGGCTGAAAGCAAAGCTCCCAGAGTTTCTGGTTTCTTTCGGGACCGATGAAAAGTGGCAAAGCAACAAGTTTGGTGCCTCTTTTTCGCCAATCCACGGACCAGAAGCGAGCTGTGTTAGTAGTTCGTCCTCGGACTTTTTGTGTTTGGTGATGCTTAAGCATCACCTGGGTCATTTTCAAACAAGTTGCTTTTTGGCGAAGCTGGAACAGGACATGTTAAGAAGTACATTCCCTACGAAACATGATCAACAAAATGGGTTTCCCTTTTTCTAGCACCGCCACTGGGCTGATCAGGTCTTCCACATGCTATTTATCGGCGTTATCTCTTGGCCGTTGTTTTGCAAGACCTTCATGAGGTCAAAGGCCGGATGAGCTTGTCACAGGCTACAGTGGGTACAGGCACTGTGTTGTCCTTTGTTCACTGTCTTGGCGGAACTGGTCATTACAGTATTGCTGCTATTAGGTGATTTAGGTGCTAATCAGCGAGGGCGTGGATGGTCTCTGCCACTTTTGTTGCAGCCCCCCCTTTCAAACACGCATGTCCAGTCATTCTAATGTAATTTTTGCAGACCTCCCGCCTACAAAAAGCATCCCCACCCCCTTAATTTTGGAATTGGGGGAGGGGTGAATTCTGGAATTCCATTTCTTCCATTTCCCTTTTTATATGGACACAGTTTCCAGACACCCCCCCCTGGCTCCCCCTGGCTCCCGCCAGAGCTTCCGGAAGTTCCAAGAGCTCTTCGCCACGGGCGCACGCCTCGGTTTGGCCAACGGCGACGTGCGAGGGCGGTGGTTTCGGTCGCGGTTTTTTTTTCCGCGGGTTCCCTCGGGAACGCACATGGGGCCGGTGTTATATATGTTTGTTGTTGGTTGGTACTCCTTTTTCGTGTGGCGCAGGAAGCCAAGAGGAGAGCCGTTGCGCCATTTCGGCGGGGTCCGAAGGCCCAACAAAGACGCACAGCCGTGAAAGAGTTCTGGGCACCCTGCCGTGGATATATTTTTCTCCTCCTGGCAGCGTTCGGGCGGCTCGGAGCGGCAGGTCAGGGTTTCGAAAGGGTTCCCTTGGAAGGGTTGGGATGTCACCAGGGTTCATTCCATGTTTTGTTGTTGTTGTTTTTGTTTTTTTCTCCGTGGGCAGCTGCAATGTGCTAAGGTTGGGATTGGTGGTTGGGTGGTTTCGGGGTCAATTGCAAATCCGAACCACCGGGCTCCAAACCACCAAAGGATACTCGGAGCTCGTGGATTGCCGAGGCGTGCCGGACCAACTGATTCGGCTCTGCGCGTTGGGACGCGTGAACGTTGCGCCTTGAAACGAAACCAAACGCCCGAGATCGCCGAAACCAGCGTGAAAACTGGGACGCCTAGGAAGTCCATGACTGAAGGTCCAGCTGTTTGGTGTTTGGATCTTGCCGGTTGGGAATGCACAGTGCGACTCAGCCTCCAGACTGCAGGCAAGCTGCATTGCGCCCGACGCCCGGTGAGACGCGCAACCAGGGCCAGACTTGTGTCCAACAGGGGACCCCCCGATTATTTCATTGCTCTTCACTGCTGTTTGCATGTCTTTAGGTGTTGGTTGGTTCTTTTAGTCAAGTAAGTAGTGGGCTGCACAAAGCAAAGCTTGTTTCTACCAATGTTCTATCCCGAAAACAATCCTAGAACCTGCACCTGGGTTCCCGGAATCAAGACCATGTTCCGTTTGGGAGGGTAGTTCCTTTTCGTTTCCCTTCAAAACCATCCCTGAAAGAGAGACGGACCTGATAGAGAATGACCCGAATAAACTGCCTTGGAGCCATCGATGCAGAATGTGAGATATGTGAGCTGCATGTTGGGTACTGTCTCGCACTGATCTCGGCAATTTTGCCTCGGCATTCAGTTTTAGATTTGCGTGCTCAAATCAGAGGACCCTGCCCTGTTGTTGGGGAACATTGTTGCGGCAACAGAAATAACTAGACACGATTGGGCCCTGCTTTGAAAACGGGAAGCCAAAGGGGGTCTGGGATTCAAGCACGTTTCAAGGGAGTTTGCCCCACCACTGCTAGTGGGCGTCACCACCTGTACTGTTTGATTAGGACCTCATTCAATAGAACTCAGACTGCAATCTCTCTTAAACCATGCTACGTATTTAGCACTGGTTCACTAAATATAGGGACCAGAATCAGACATTTTGGGTTCGGTCCAAAGCTGGGCGTGGACCCACTCATTCATCACAGATTTCCCAGCGGAACCCTACAAGGTGATTCGCCTTTTCCCAGACAGAACGGGTGCTCCCCTACATATTAGTATGGCCCCCTTTTAAGGAGGTTCCTCTTTTGGTGGTGTGTTTGGGTTCCACGTTAAACTCTTTGGTGAGTAATTCCCTGATGTTTTTCCAGACCTACTGTGGGTGGACGAACTCCTGCACCCAAGAAACCCTGAAATCATGATTCCTCTGTAAGTACCAACAAACATTCTGGTTTTGCATAGATTCAAAGCGCCCACGGTCATTATTTTGCCCGTGAGTCGTTTTTCCCCAGGGGACCCGTTGTCTTTTCTCGAGGTGCCGACGCTGCTGCCTGGATCCCTGGCGCTGGGGATCGAGGCGGTGATCAAGGCGGGATCGAGGAGTGATCAACAGCTTGGAGTGATTGACAGGGCTCAACCCCCCATTGACACGTTAAGCAATGGTTGAGCATGGTTGATCCAATTTGGAGTCTATGAAACTCCTTCTTTTTTAGGTGAAGGTTAAAACAATGGTTCACCCTAAAGCAATGGTTGAGCATGAGCATGGTGCAACCAATTTAGATTCTGTGACATTTTTTTTAGGTAAACAACGGTGGTTATATGATCAACCCCCATTGTTGTAATCCTAGTTGAACCAATTTCGATTCTAATGCACTCAAACTCCTTACTTTAAGTAAGCAATGGTGGTTATATGATCAAGTAATCGTGGTTTGACTCCCAGGGTGCATCCCTGCGGGTGAATTCCCCCTTGGCCATCTCGCCTATCCAGCGGGCTGCAGAGATTGAAGCAGGTGTTCTTCTCGCCAGTGGCGGGCTGCAGAGATGGATCCAGGTGTTCTTCTGGTCTGGTTTGGATTGGTTTTGATTTGGATTTTTGAACATTCTTGAACCCCTGTTTAAATTAAGGGTAAATGGGATACACCTGGTAAATGGGATGTTTGCACCCCTGGTAACGTGTAAATGGGATACTTCCCACCCGGCGCTAGGAGGTGAACTGGGACTCGCCAGCTCCAAATGGCGCCGGGTGTTTGGGAGGCGCTCTTCCTCGCGGCCCACGGCTGGAAAGAGGTGGGCCGAGGCAAGAAGAAGACCTTCGAGATGTACAAGGCGCGTAGGTGTTGTTTGTTTGTGTGTGCGTGTGTGTTGGGGGGGGGGGGGCAGCGCAGATGGACGGCACAGTTACCTGCGGGGGGGGGGGAGGCGCAAATTGGATGGCACAGTTACGCGGTGCTTTTGGGGGTTTCTGTTAGTTGTTTTGTTCTTTAGCTCTTCGGCTATGGACTTGTTTGAATTGTGTTTGTTCTGGTTCTTCGGCAACATGTTGGCCTGGGGGGGCAAGTGGGTGACTAGATTGGGAGGAGAAGCTTCCATTCTTTCCAGGGATGCGTCTTTTCAGGAAATCAACCGCCATGCGGAAGCAAGAACGGTGGTTGAATCGAATGGGGGAAAAGCGACCCGGGGTCCCGTTTGGAAGGGGCTTTTGGAAGGTGCTCATGGTTGGCGCGGCTGGCTCGATTCCCGCCCTGTCTGGACTGTTTGGCATGCCGTGACGTCCTGCCAAGACGCCATGTTTTTGTGTCTTCTTCTTTTTTCCGTTTGATTTCGTCTGCTTCATGTCCACTCTGGGGGGGATTTCGTCTGGTTCATTTCGGCATGGCGGGGGGCCGGGATTCCTTCCAAAGGGGCTCATCTGCTGCCGGCTGATCTCATCCCTTCCGAAAGTCAGAGGCCAAGTTTCTACCCTCACCGCATCTTTGGGGGGGTGGGGGGCCACGGAAGTTTTTTGGTCCACAGAGGTGGGCAGGGATCCGTTCAGACACTTTCCTTTAAAGTCTACTGATAAAAAGGGGGAAGCTGCATGGCTTTATCATCCATCTGAGTTGGATCTTCAAACAAAAGAAAGCCACACCCGAAGCTCAACGGCCCTGCTGCTTTTGTTTTACGTTTATGTTCCGATCGGCTTGGGCGCAACATCGGGACATGGTTTTCCTTGTCTCTGCGCATGATGAGCCTCCTCACGTGACCAAACAAAAAGCCCACCACTCCCAGCTACCCAGGGTGGTGGGCCGGGATCACTCGGGGTTGATCCCCACCCACTTCTGTGATAGTTTTGGGAATCTCCTCCTTATGGGGGGTTGAACGTCTTTGGGGTTCGGCCCTTTTTGTCGTATCACAGAAGTGGATTCCATTTCCCACAGCCCTGCCACCAATCCCAATCAAAGGGAAGCTGATGAAAGACAAGATCTCACAGCTACGAAGCGCCTGGTTTTTGTCTTGCCTTTTGGCACCACCAACTCACTGCTATTATGTTGTTTTGGGGGCCCCTGCGATGCCCCTAGCGTTTTGCGGTCACTTGAAATTTTCTGAGTTGCCATAAGCTACCAACTGGACGAGCCCACCAGAGTCTGCCCACCAGCTTGCCACCCCTCTCCCCGCTTCCGCTTGAAGTGAAAAGAGGCTCTCTACGGGGAGTACGACTTCATCTTCTTCGGGGACAATGGCCAGGCGTCTGAGCGGTAGGTTTCGGAAATCGCGCACCTCTCCCAGTGCTTCCTGTTACCACTATAGTTCCATTTGCTTAAGCGTATTTTGTTTTCCCTTGTTGGGGCTGAAAGCGAATCTATCACTGCAGGAAATATGTTTTTCCAGGGAGCTTAAGCAAATGGTTAGTATAGCACGTAACCATGCAAGCATGGCTACCTCTAGGTGTTACATCATGCTTTCCCCTTGCTACCTACTAGAGTGGCAAGTGGAAGCACTGGGTCTGAGTGGTCAGTGATGGTACTTGGGTCTTCATTGCCAAGTTAGCAAGTCGTTGGTAGGTGATAACCCGCATATTAAGTTCCCCCGGGAACGTGCAGCTAAGCCTATTGGTGGGTCGCAAAACCCAGTAACCACTTGCTAACTTGGCGACGGACATCCAGGTACCCATTTCAGCTTGCAGGGGAATACGCCCATTTGGATTCCGTCAGTGGTTTGGACCTTTGAGATGCCATCCAGGTACGTCAATCCGGTGCATTTCTGGGTTCAATGGCACACCAGACCGGGGTAGAATGGCACACCAGACCGCGGGAATGGTACGCCTGTCACAAACCACGCATGTGTTGATTTATATACGTCCATTTGCGTACATAATAATAATAAAAATAACAATAATAATAATAATAATAATAATAATAATAATAATAATAATAATAATAATAATAATACAGATAATAACAATAATGATGATGATAATAATAATATAAACGGTGCCAAAGCCCACTGTGAGGTTTGAGGTTTCACGGCACGATTTGATTTGCGCGACGCAGGAGGAAGCGCAACTTGATTATTTTGCAGTTGAATCCCCGAGCAGCCTTTTGGTGGGGTGATGCCTTTAGGTCGGGCACCTAGGCAATGTGGAAGAGCCAAACCCAACCCCCAAGGAAAGCCAGTTCACATGAAGAATCCAGTCAGGGCCCTCCCCACGGTCAGTGGCCTTGAGGCTCCTTGAGCTTTTCCACCCACGTCCCTCTTTGCTTAAAGTGGCCTCCCCAGACCCGCCCAGGGGGAACCCCGATTCTTGCACCCCGTTGCGTCGGGGTCGGTTCAATCCTTTTCGGAAGCGGGCTCGGAAAAGGCCTCATCTCACGGGGATTGGTGGTTACTGCATTCAGGTAATGCTCAGTTGTTCAAAGCGAATCGACCTTTTGACCTTTTGGTTTTCCCTTTTTGGTCAGTTTTTAGTAGAGGTCCCAAAAGGTTAACCTTTTATAAACAGGTCCTGGGGGCAACTGAGAATGAGAATGTGGCGGATTATATAGCAGCTATGCTCAGGCAACCCTAAATCTTTCCCTCCCCAAAATTCACCCAGAACACGTTCGAGGGGTGGGGGGGGTATTCGCCAGGGCGACCTCCTGGCCGGGCAGCTGATGCAAGAGACGGACGAGAGCAGCGAGGCCGGGAGTTGGGCCTCCAAATGTGCCTTGTGAGCACTTCCATGTGCTGAAATCAACACAATTTGTTGGTGTTTAGATATGTATATATATATATATATATTTTATTTATATATGTGTATAGATTTCCCCTGGTTTTAAAGATCAATCTCACTAAGTGAGTCACTACTGGGGCGAAAAAGCAAATTGAGGAAGTCGCCTTTCAGTGCATCCCTAGTTCATGTGATTCATGTGTAGAGGGGGGCCGCATTCATGGCTATGCGTCTATCGTTTCCTTGCTTGGACAAAGGCGTGTATATCAAGGTGGGGGGGTTGGGGGGCGTCTAATTTAGCGGGGAAATGAGTAGTTGGATGATCACGGTCAGCATGTGTTTTTGGTCAAGGAACCCTTGCGCCCGCCACCCACAAAGCCCGCAGAGACCAAGCAGATGCTCGGCACCCGTTGGCCCGAAACTTGATGGGAAGCGGGGCTTTGGTGACTGGTTTACTTTTTGTGTTTTCCTTTGAAACCAGAGTGCCATAGGGCGCCCTTTTGAATGTGCCGGAGTGTTGACTCGGCTGGCGTTGAGTGATTTTTGTCACCTGGCCCTCCAAAATTGATATCCCTACTGTGGATGGACGAAATCCTGCACCACTGTTGTTGGTGTTTACAGACGACTCAAATCATTCCAGGGCTTCTGAACGGAGATGCCGAAGCGCGGATTTCGAAACGGTCCGCCGTCTTTGGGCCCTGTAAACCCAAAGGGGCTGGACATTTGTCGCCAGGGGCCTTCTGAAGAGGCGTGGCCGGGGGGCGAGCCGAGTCTAGGTCTTCGAGGTTTTAAAGCTACCGCTAGGACCACCGTCGCCCTGAAGAAAAAAAAACGGGCACTTTGCGGTTGGGCACCTTGAAGCCTTTGCATATTTTAGGAGCTGGGAGTATTCAAATTTGACTTCAGAGAGGGAGTCCGGGAGCTACTAGGAGTTCTGACACGGTAGTTTTGCATGTGCCAGTTGACTAGTTGATAGTGGTTCATCCCAGCGCTTGAGTGCCTCGAGTGGTGTCTTGGTTCCCTATCAGCCCTGTTCTTTTTATAAGATGTAAGACGATAAGTACGTACCTTGCCCTCTTCGTTTTTGACGGGGTCACGGGGTGTTTCGAACCGAAGCCAAGCAAGAACCAGACAGCATGTTGTGCGTGGTTTTTGCAAAGCCAACAGCGGGAATTCCAGATTCATAACCCCCTGATGGATTTTGGGGTGCGCGCGCCAAGGCGCCAACTGAGCCACAAGTAAAACCCGGTTAAGTGAAGGATCCTAAGCATAGGTGCGGAATGGTGCGGATATCCGCCGTTTCATTCAGCTCATGGTCTTGGCTCGGCCTTTTTTAAATGTTTCCTAGATAGCCACGTTGCTGCTTTTTCAGTCACTGTTGCTGGTTTTTGGGGTAAAGTGGATGGAAAAAAACAGCAACTGGCGATTCAGGTTGGTAGCAATTAGCAAGGCCCCCCTCAAGCAACTTCGGGGGGTCAAGAGGAAAAGCCCTAGACTCAAAACCCAGAGACCCTAGATGACTACTTTTTTTCCTTCCCACTAACATGGCAACTGACAGGGACCCGGTCCCTTCAAAAGGAAGATCAATTTTCCACCTCCCCACAGGTGCCATGTTAGTTGGAGGAAGGGTACCATTTTTCACTCAACTTCGTGGCTCGACTCCCTTTCGTTCGCAGGCCAGCGTCACAAGCAGTGAGGCGTGGTGAGACATCGATGCCATTTTGTCACCTGACCTGCCGTTCGTGAGGTTAGTTTGGTGAAAGACCAGTTGTGTCACCGAGACAGAGACGCCCTAGCAAGTTTTCACACATGAGTCTATATCTTTTTTTTGGGTACCCTTTTGTTGGATGGTGTTAAAAGGAAGCCAAAAGGAAAAAACACAATTTGGAGGGGGTCCCCTAAAAAAGGCAAGTTCAAAGTAACTATTCCCAGACACTCAAGAGAACATGCTTTAGAAATACAGCCACGCGGCGGAGATGTTCAATTCCCTGGCATGTTCCTCCCAAGAAGGGTGTCCTTCTTCTACTCGCTGAACCGGGGAACCCTGAGACGTGGTCACTGAACTCAGCAAGTCCGAGCCTTGGCTCCCGGTAGAGAGACTTCTTCGCGTCCTTGGGCCCAACAAACGTTTTCGACCCAAACAACATCGGAAAACCCGTCCCTTTCGATGTGTCACCCTTTGGTCGTTTCTTGACTTCCCCTTGGCAACACTCATGCACTCAGCAATTACATGTGCCCTTTCACGCTTTTTTTTGGGGAGGGTTCCCCTACAAACATAAACAACAGAAGAAAAAAAAAGGTACCCTTATTCTAACCTCTCTACTGGAGGACCTAGACATGGTTCTGGGAAATGGGGTTTTGGGCCCACCTTCTGTGATACAAAGGCCCCTGAAGTGACAAAACAGCAGGGGTAGTCCGCTGTGATAGCCGCGACCAGGAAGCTTCGGCTTCCACATCTTGGAGGTGCTGTTGCCGCAGGCTCCGTGGTTTGGGATGTGCCCATGGTGACCTTCCGGTTTTGCAAATGTAGCTCGCAATGTGTTTTGTGCGTTTTGTTTGGTTTGTTTGTTCTGTGTGTGTGTGTGTTGGTGTGTTCAGTGTCTTTGCTTCTTCTGTTGATGTGTTTTTTGTTGTCTGCTTTTTGCGTGCGAGACGCTTTCAAGACTGCTACAACACCATCACTAGTTTTGTACCCAGCGGTGGGCGATAGAAGACTGCAAAGTACACGACGTGTTCATTTGTTTTCTTGGGGGTGATTGACCATTTTCTTGGCTGGGTCTGTTCCCAGTTGTTCCGTGGCATCCATTCTCCCTGTTTATTTGGTGGCTTCCATGAACACGGTCCTTCCAGGTCCACTGGGTCACTGGGCATCGCTTAAGGGAAAAGCGGGACATGGTCAACTCACTCCCGATCGAGTGCCTGGACTTGAGACTTGTTGGGTTTGAAGCATGTGTTTTGGTACCCAGACGCTCCTGGCTTCGGCTTCCAATGGAAGACCCAGACAGTCCATTGGACACCCCAGAGGGGTTTTGGGGTCTCAAAACCTAACCGTTTGAAGGCCCAAAATCAATCGGGAGCGTCTGGGTAAACAAACTGTTTGGTTACTTTTGTTGCCGGGGTCCCCTTGCCCAAGGTTTCTTTTCTCTCACAGCGTTTGTTTTCCTTGGAGCCGTGTCCCCAACCGATGGCCAACTCACTCGATCGAAAGTGAGCCAAAGTGTCGACTGGGGGAGCACTTTGAGCAAGTGGAAGTTTTGGACTATTTGCCGAGTCTGCTTTCGGCAGCAAAACACCACCGAGAGCTTCAAGATGCCAATTGACCAAAAAAGCCGAGAGGCCGATTACCCGAAACACGGGGCGAGGGTGGGCTGTTGAAAGGGGGCCAATAGGTTGGTGGGCGGGTGGAGCATGCAAATTTGCCTGAGAAGCTGGTGTTTCTTTCGGGTTGGTTGCATGGTGGATGAGCTAAGTATTGCCAGTACACCAACCACACGAAAAAAAGACACAACCATAGTACATTACGACAAAGTAGGGGTGTCCTGTCTCCCCTACTTAAATACTTGCAGTATTTAGGGCATCTCATTTCTGGGCTCACTTTCAATGGCAGCGGGCTCCTTTTGCTTCTGGAAGGAATGTTCTCAGATCCTCGGCTTGGGCCTGAATCGTCGCTTCCTGCGAGTGTGGCCGTTGCAAATTTGTCCAACATCCTGCCTTGGGGTTTTAGTTGGATGGCGGACCCCGTAAGCTGGAATTCGATTTCGGACGACTGGCCAACCGACTGGCGGATGAGGCCATTTTCCACGGAAAGGAGTCAAGGGAGCCAAGGCCTTCAAATTCGGAGCTTTGGCCCTACATGTTCCACCGATCCCTTGATTTCCCTTTTTCAGTGTCAGTTTTCAAGCCACAATTCTCCCTTTGCCCCTAGGTCGAATCGACCTTTCCGTCTGGCTTCCCCATGTTCCATTTAGGTGTTTTGGTTCCCGAAAAAAAAGGTGACCACCTAAACCCTCAAACTACCCTTCAACAAAGGGATTTTACCCCATAAATTGGGCCATAGCCATTTTGTGAGGGTCCAGGCACCTGATGTTCCATGTTCCATGTTTTTTTTTGTTGCTTTTGGTTCCCCAAACAGGTTCCATGTTTATGTCTTTTGGTTCCCAAACCAAGGTGACCACCTGGAATTTCCAAGGCTGGGCAACTCAGTGAACTTGCCGCCAGGGCCGCGCCGCCTTCGAAGTGGGTGTGGAAGCGGGGGGAAGGACTCGGAAACGGACACGATCCGGCTCGCTGGCCCTGCTTGGGATCCCTGAGAAAACATCACAGGCGCGTGTTTCTTTTTCTCGGAAAAGAGAGGGGATGGATCCGAGTTGCGGTTTTCTTGGCTTTTGGTCGTCCTTTGCAACCAGCTGAAAGAGGGACACCCAAGTTTCAGGCTCGCTGCTAAGTGGCTAAGCGCACCATGCAATTTCGAGGTTCTCCGTCATAGCCTTACGTTTAGTGTGCTTAGGTTGTTTAGAGTTTAGAGGAATTTGCCCTTTCTTCCACTTTCGTGGCACCTGACGGGTCCCTTCAAGAGGAAATCGATCTTCCAGGTACCTTTTGATAGGTGCCATGTTAGTGAACGGAACGGGTACGGCATGTTCTTATGAAAAATGTATCGCTTTTGTTAGGCTTTTCCGTGCTTTAACATGCCGGATATGATGCTGTATTTGTTGTAATTTGCATGTTATTTCTGCAAAGGCAACATTATAAAAGGAACTGACGTACAACATGAAGACAACCGCTATGTCCTTTCTATCTAGAAGCTGTTGATGTTCTCCATGTGGCTCTTGGGGAGAGGGTTATGGGAACATTGTTTTACTCACCGGAAAAGAAGGCGCATTTGTGGAAGAGTCTCTTTTGCCCCTTAGTTCTACGTATGGCTGATTTGCATGGGAGTAGCCAACCGAAAAGGGATACCCTCAAACAAGACAGACTTGCATCCATGAGCAAAACCAAGCATGACCTGAAGGAAGGATGGTGTGGCCTCCCCACGAATCATGGCGTGCCGATTGGCAGGTGCCCAAAGCAAATACCCTGTGTCGCTAATATGGGTATGTTTTTTTGCTGACGGTCTTTTTGTTTGAATTTGAATGGAAACTAGAAGGACAACCACCCTGTGGGGGTCCCTCAAAAAAGGGCAGCCCCCCCTTACGGTGAATATGCACCATTCCAGGTGTCGCTAAGGTAGCTGAAGACATACGGGTAAGCCAGAGTATTTCCTTTCTTTGCGAGCAGGGGCACAGACACCGGGCCAGTTGGTGTTTTCCTCTTCGCAAAGGCCAAAGGCTGTGTCAACATCTTTGTCAGGGCAGCCCCTCCATTTGCTTAAGCATGTTTGCTACTTATTTCCCCCTGTGAGTTTACAGGGAATCTGTCGCTGCTGGACATTGGTGGTATCCTTTTCAGGGGACTTAAGCAAATAGAGGTCAGTCACTACTAGGAATATGTTTTTGTTTTTCCAGGAGTCCTACGCACAAATTGAGGGGGCCCACAGTGGCGCCCACCCCCCGAAAAAGCACCAAATTAGCTGCCCAAAGCGAATCGACCTGAAATGACCTTTTGGTTTCTCCTCTTGGCCAGCCATTTTGTTTCATGGCAACCCAAAAGGGGGCTACTTTTCTGAGTCCTATCTTTGTTGGCAACTGAGCCAACAAACAAACACCGAGGGCTTTGGCTTTGGCGTATCTGTGCGAAAAGAGCGAGGACCGCGGCTGAAGGCTGTGATGATCCATGAGGCGCGAGATTTGTTTCGGAAAGTGTTCTTCCGATGGGAGGCCAAAGCCTGTGTCAGGGGTCCCTACACTTGCGATCGGTGTGATAAGTACAGAATGTGGGAATGAACACAGGGATTCCCTTCAAGGCAACCACCAGTTGGATGGTTTATAGGGGGCAATCCCTCATTTTTGTCCGGGTGCCAAAGCCTACTTTGTGGCGAGCTCACTGATTCGGGGTTATAACCGAGCTAAAGCCATGAGACAGGTCCTGCACTTGGGGATCCAATTCTTACTTCAGCTGTTGCAATTATAGCAACATGTGCTAGTATATTAGTGTATATGTACACATGTACATGCATACACATTCATACATAAATACTTACATACACATACACGCATAGCAAAAGCGGGTCTCGTGGCAACTCCTTAGCATTTGCTGCGCGCGCAAACAAAGCCTGCAATGTCCCATCGGTTTTGTGGGCACGCCGCGACGGGATGGGCCTGCTGCCCCTGGACTTGGTCAATGGCAACCCCTCCTCAGGGACCCTATGTTGCGCGTGGTGGTTTGAAACGTCACCTTTTTGGCCCATAGCTGAGTGTTTCTTGGGATCGGGGCGATGTTTTAAAGGGAATTATAGGGAGCCCTGATTGTGGCTGGGCTTTGGGTCGCTCAGTTGCCCAAAGCGCGAATCGACGTGACATGACCCTTGGTTTCCCGTGTTGGGTTCCCAGTTTTAGCGGTGAACCTTTTGTTTCCAGGTCCTTTGGGCAACTGAGTTGGTGTGACTTTCTGAGTTCCTGGGCTTTCAACTTTTTTGGGAAGACCATTTCAAACAAAAACAGACGCACAGGCAAGCAAGCAACACCATGCAATAGTTTAACTCCCATCGGTCTTGGGCATTCTGGGGATGTCAAAAAGCCGATTCCCGGCGCGAAACCGCGACACCGAGCGGCACGTGTCCGGTGCCGGGTTTGCCGAGGTGCTCCATGACGAAGATTGCCTCAGCTTGGATCCACGGCCACACCCGCCGCACTGGAGGACCGGAAGTGGGTTGGTCAGGTACTTGGCCAGTGAGTCAAAATAGAAGTGATTGAATGGAAGAGATGTCAGTATCAACCAACTGGCGGTTTTTTGGTTGGTCGGTTGGTTGGTTGGTTGGTTGGTTGGCTGGTTGGTTTGTTGGGCTGGTTTATTTGGCTGCTTTGTTTGGCTGGTTTATTTGGCTGCTTTGTTTGGCTGGTTTGTTCGGTTGGGTTGGGTTGGGTTTGGTTGCGTTGGGTTGGGTTGGTTGGTTGCTATGCCCCTCTGAAGTGGCCGAGTTCATTTGTTTGTGTACGTGACGCAGGTCCTGCATGTTGCATTGTGGTGCCGTAGTTGTAGACTGGCGCTGGGACCGTGTTGGTCGATTGCTTGGTTGGCGCTGGCTTGTTTTGTTTTGCATGCTTGGTTTGATCTCGGCCCACCTTCTGAAAGCTCCACCCCTAAAATGTTCAGAGGCCCCTACATGTTTCTTTCGAAGCCTGACTGTGGGGCTGTTTCAAATTCATGTTCGAAGGGGAACTCAGGATTGTACCCTAGTTGACATAGAGGGTTGGTTTCCGAAGTGTCCATTGGCATTGGATAAAAGCCCCCTGAAAGCTCGAAAGTGTGCATCGCGGCAAACATGTTCGCGCCCAGTTGCCAAAGAGGCCCGAAAAATGAGTCACATGGAACAGACCCCATGTCTTTCACGCCTCACTCCCGGAGTTCCGTTTCGGACTTTGGCCATTTTTTGGGTTGGGACCATGTCTCTCACTTCCTGAGCTCTTGGACTTTAAACTTTGTTCGGAGACCATCTTAGTGGCAAACCAAGAATTGTTACCTTTTTGTTGGGCTATGTACTCAAGGAATAGGGTAAACAAATGGTTCCTGGCTACCTTTCTTCCATTTGCTTAAGCCCCCTGGAAAAAATGAGAAAAATGCCCGTAATTTCCCTTTAACACCAAAAACGGGAAATATGGAACGGAACAACGGTCTTGAGCAAATGGCCGTTGGTCTGGGCAATCCACTGAAGTGAGGCAAGGGGTGACACCTCGCAAGTGGGGGGGGGTTGGGAGCGAGGCCGGCTGAAAACGAGGGTCTAGGCAAAGACCCATGGAACTGAGGAACCTGCGTTGTGCATGAGAGAGTACGCATATGTGCATATTATATATATATATGTATATATATATATATATATATGTATAATATGAATGGTATATGCATACATGTATGTGTGTTTACTACCTGTAAGTGTTGAGTAGTTAAAGCGTCTGCGTTTATCTTTGTATATAACAGTGTATATGCATATGTATACGTTAGTTTGTCCGTGTTTGGTTTATGTACTTGAGCGAGTCCAGGAGCCAGCTGGCGGACCAGGGTGTCCACCTCTTCACCAGCCGGGGGCCCTTGCCGGGCCGAGGTGCAGAGGTGCCGGGGCTTTTTTCGGCACCCAGACCTTTGGGCACTTTTTGGGCCAATCCACTGGAACCGAAGTGAGACCCCCTTGAAAAATGACACGAATCTGGTTGCAGGTTGCGAACGGACGCGACAGTTTGAAACTTGAACGCTAGCAATGCTCAAGGTTGCCTGTTCCCCAAGTGGGGGTCTCTGATCAACTACCAGCCGCCATGGTCATGTTTGTCCAAGATGACTTCTGTTTGGCGAGTTCCCCGCTGACAGTGCACCTGTGGGTCAGAACCCATGGGATCCCATTTTGGGGAAGGTGCACCGCTGCACCACCCACTTTAGTCGGGATTTTGGCGGGGATTGGCATGTTCATGGGGGTACGATTTGGATTTTGACCCATGACCACCTGGCCCAAAACTGATCCTGGTTTCTGCCAGGGTCGCGGCGCAATCAATGCGCAATTGGATTTCCTTTTCCTGCTCAACTAGCAAATGTGATCGTGTTCTTGGCAAGTTTTGTCCACGATTTGAGCCAAGCGGCACAACTAAAATCCCATTCCTGGCCGGTCAATGCAGTGGTTGGAGAGGATGTGCCCAAAGACGCTGCTATTTTGCCAAGTGCTTGCCAGCACCGCCCAGCTGGCCTTTTTCAAGCATATTTGAGCCATTTCGGGGAAGGTGGTGAAGAAGCAACGCGCAAAACATCCAAGTTGCAGCCGAAACAACTTGAAGGGAGGCTACGGAACAAGAGGAAAGAAGGCAATAGAGAACTGCTAGGTCCCCCAGTAGTGCCCTTTCTCACCCCTTTTTTGGGGGAGGGTTCCCCTACTAAAACAGACTACAGAAAAAAGGGTACCCTTATTCTACGTAACCTCTTGAAGGCGGAAGGCTGGCACAATAACTAAGACGCCCTGCGTCAAATTGGGCCCAACCCGGACAAGTGGCGCCAGTTGATCCGCGGTTTGGTTCGCGCCCCTCTTAACACGTACTTTCCGCGGCCCCCGTCCTCTTGCCTAGCAACCGCGAACGGACTGGTGAGTAGATCCCATCCATCAGCATTTGAAGATGTTGCTGCCATCATCTTCCATGTGAATATTGTTATTCTCCCCACTCGAACGCTGCGTCGCGCCGATGCAGCTAGCACAGCTTGAGCGATGCTGAGCCTGCACTTCAAGAAGCGGCTCAAGGCCACGAACGTGCAAAATCACAGGCCCTCCGAAGTGGCCAGCACAGTGTGAACACGTTGCGCCAGCGCATCAGGCCAAGGAAACACAACCCCCGGTAACAGCCTTAAAATACCACAAGAAGGCCGAGTTACCTGCTCCACTTTCAGCTCCCAACCAAACACATCGGCAACCAAAAACAAAGCAAAACGGAAAACACCAACCAACGCCCCCAAGGTCCGAGGAAAGGTCTCACCGGCAGAAAGTGCAGAGGGGTCAATCCAAGTCTGTGTCCTTTCATTGGAAACCAAAACGGGCAAAACAACAGCGGACTGCAGGTGGAAACCAACAAACAATTCCAAAAAAGACAGGCATTTCCATGGTGGCCTCCAAATCTAAACTCGAGATCCAATCCGTGAGAGCCCTGGCAGTCGTGTCGCTTCCATTTGAATAAAGCTTCTAATTGTCCCTTGGTTTTAATTACAGGGCAGCTATCACAGCTGGATCTGTTGTTTTTTGTTCCCAGGGGGCTGAAGTCATGGCAACGGGTTTGTGCTGACTTGGGGCGATGCGTCGCCCGACGTTGCTGTTTCGCCGGTTGTGGCTTTGGTGCTGTATTGCGCGTCTCCGTTGTTCGGCGGAGCAAAAGGCCCACGACCTTTGGTCCCATGCAAGTTAGCCTTTTCGTTTGCACTGCGCAGCTGAGTGCGTCAGGCGGTTTGTCGGTTGCCTGGCACAAGGACGGATTTGTTCATGTTGGCCCAGGATGAATAAACCCATCCACCCGTCCTAATAGTAGGGGGAGGCTGCTCCAAGAGTGATCCGGATTCCCTTTGCACAGTTGTTGCAGCGTTCTGCTCGTAGGCCAAGATTTCATGGTCGATAAGTGCTCCACGAATGTCGACTCTGAGTGATAGCCCCTCCCCCCCCTCGAATTATTATTCAGGGGGTCCCTCTTTGAGTGTCCTTTCTTCCAGGCCAAGTGGGGTTTATTGATCAGGGGTTCCATTCGACCACTCCAAGTCACATCTCGGGCCGAGGCTACGCGTCGGCAGCACTTAAGCTGCACCGGGATGGGCTGATCACTTTGGGCGCCTTGGAGTCGCAACGTTGGTCGCGTGGCGCCGTGTGACGGCTTTTGGATGTACGCGTCAATAGAACGGCTTTTCTTTGACGGCTTTTGTTCTTTCTATTGATGTGTTGTGCTTGTTCTTGTGGTTTTATATGTGTTTCACTTTTGGTGGTTCAAACATCCAAAAGCCTACCTGTCTTCGTTGTGTTTGTTTTTTGCCCTCCCTACAGTTCCAAGTTTGGTTTTAAACATCATCTTTTGTGCAAATCCAGAGTGAGTTTCCTTGTGGTCGGTTGCTTCAAGAGGAATACAGGGAGCCCTGCTGTTGAGAGGTTTGCCTAGGGAAGCACACGACACCCCACAATCCAAGCAAGGCTATCGGATCCTTAGAAGGGTTCCATTCTAGGAACCATTCGGATTGGCAGAGGGGCAATGATTGGCCTTAACCCGTTAAACATAAAATTCAAGGTAACCCCGGGAATTTTATGTATGTTGTGGGCTTGCATCTGCGAGCTGAACTGCAAAAGAAGCTCACCATTCAGTCTTTACTTGGGATTTCATTCTTGTTTCAGGTTTTGTATTTTTAGGAGTTGTTTGCACGTGGGATCAAGGTACTCCTGCAACAAGAAGAAATGCACCAAGAGAGCCTGATCCAGGGTCCTTAAACATCACCGGATAATATCATAGTTGCCTTTTGACCTGGTGAAGTTTGAAACGGACGTCCCTGATTTTGGAGGAACTGCTGGGGAACCCTTTCGGAATCCATGCTCATCTCCAACAAGGTGGCTATCCATCTAATTTCAGGGATGCCCAGCTAAGACTTTAGGATGCAAACCGTTGAGTGATCGTGGTTGCCAAATTTTCGCATGTTTTGGTTTTTGCCACCCCGTCTAGAAATGCAGGTGAGCAAGCCACTTGGGCCCGTATTGTGGATGGACGACATCCTGCACCACTTGCAAACCATGGTTGAAACCAATGTTGCTTGGCATTTTCAGGGGAATCAAATCATTACAGAGTTTCTTCGGTGGAATCGAACCATTCCAGGGTTTCTACTGGGTGGTGCGAACCATTTTCGCAGCCATCCACCAAAAAGCACCGGGCCACCCGCCAGCCACTGCCTGGGATTTCGTGACCGGAGTGGGTCCTGGGCTCGGCTCAGGACAGCTGCGCTCGGTCACAGAGGCAGGGACTTGGTGCGAGAGACTTTACCATGGGGCAGTCATGGTATGGGTGTCCTTTTTCAAGCTTGGACCCGCAAAATGGCGGTTTTCCTGGTGGTGTCCCTTTAAAACCACGATCGAAAAGGCTTGACTGCTATTGGGTTGGATCTTTAGACATCTTTAGACTTTAACTTTTTGGGGAAATAAAGGTGTTTTCCACTAAACCCCCAAAACGTTAAACTTTTTGCAGGGGGGTCAACAGCAACCAAGAAGGTGTGCCCTCAAAGAAGCGACACCCATATAATGCGTCCCAAAGAAGGGGATCGCCGGTGCCATGTTATACCCTTTTTGGAGTTTGTTCAAAGCAACCTGCCATTTGCTTAGGAAATCTTGGGATTGTGTTGTTTGTTTCCCTTTCCCCTTTTTGGCTTCAATTGGAATCGACTTCACTGCTGGACATATCTTGTCAGGTGTTCTGGAGGGCCCCAGGGAGAGAACAAAGCAACTGGAAGGAACGAACGCCACTGCTTTCAACACCCGAAAACCCCAGGGAGAAAAAAGAGAGAGCCAAATGGCAGACCCGAACAAACACCACCAGTTTTGAGCTATTGGGTTTGATCTTTAGACTTTGACTTTTTGGGGGGGTTTTCCACAAAACCCCCAAACCGTTTTTTCTTTAATGCAGGGGGTTCCTGCCAGCAACCAAAACTGTTTGCAGGGGGGTCCTGCCAGCAACCAAGTGAGCGAAGGCCCAAAAACCATCGAGACCCTTAGAAAACTAAGAAAAACGATAAAACCCGCTAGGCTGCCACCCTGGACTTCGACCAAGCCCGCCTGCCGGAAGCCCAGCGGATGATTTCGTGGGATCGCGAGGTCGTGAAATCGCCCCGGGGACCCGTCCCCGGTCAGAGTCGTTTGACCCAATGACCCAGGCTAGGTCCCCCAGCAGAGAGGTTAGAATAAGGGTACGACAACCAACTAAGAACACCAAAAACATGATTCAGAAGCTGACCGTTTGGTGACTTACCTGGGCTAGGTCCCCAGTGCCCTTTCTCACCCCTGTTTTGGTTGGGAGATTCGGTTCCCCTACTAAAATAGACTACAGAGAAGAAGAACAAATGTACTCTTATTCTAACCTCTCTGCTGGAGGACCTAGCGCAGGTAAGTCACACAGACAGTTAGCTTCACTGTGGTTGGATCATGTTTTTAGTGTTCTTAGTTAGTTGTGTGTTGGTTCCGTTCATTTCGGTTTGGGGGCTGCAAAGGTTGTTTACTTCTATACCGTTTGGGTTGGAAGTCTGGCTCGCAGAGTTTGCTGGGTAAACTATAGGTTAGTTTGGTTACCCTTCCAGCGACTAACATGGAAGTGCGCACTTGCCTGTAAGACTACTTTCCTTTTGGAAAGGGGCTTTGTGCACTTTCATGTTAGTTGGTTTGAGGTTATCCCTGGCTTTGGACGCCCTAGGGCTTCCGACCCTTTAGGCAAGCTGGCTTTGGAAGGACGCTGGCAACCAGCCCAAAGCGTTTCCTTCGCATGGCCAACGATTGGATCAATCGACCTGATAGATCAATGGTGCCCAGTTGCAAGGGAATCAACCTTTAGACCTTTAGACCTTTAGTGGTATCCCAAAAGGCCAACCTTTGATCTTCAGCTCCTTTGGGCTTGCGTGAGAGAGCGATAGCACTAGACTGTCTTGCTGCCCGAAAGATCAGCCCGGCACCGAGATGGAAGCATGGAAAGCGGACACCGGTGAATGCTGGAGATCTCCATTTGCTCACTTCCTGAGTTCATGAACTTTAAGCTTTTTGGGCTTGGACCATTTTAGTGATAAATATAAAGTTTGGACTTTTTTGGGGGCCATCCACTCAAGTGAGTTTATCATTTATGGTTCCATTCCCCTTTTATGGGGAAGACAAGATAATTGGATTTGGGGATCCCCCCCCCCCGACTCCCCCGTATGATAGGTGGATTTTCTTTCACCATGATGTTTGTTCGGACCACCGATGCGAGGAGGATAAATTATTTGTTTTGAAGGTACCTTATGGTGTGTTTGTTCTTGGGAAACCAAATGGACAACCAGTCCGAATCCTTACAACAGACACTCCCATGTCAACATTTTCTTCTATAGAAACTCGGGAGCACTTTGTGGCGATGTTGGGATCTCAGGCGAAACCAGGCGCTGCAACCCTTAACGAAGTCAAGCTTCAAATTGAGCAAGTGAGCTTGCTTCCGAGTGCCCGGCCAAAGACAAGCCCGGCCGAAACTGGAAAAGCAACGGTGGAAACATGTCTAGGTTCTCTCCCCTTTTTGTTGGGGAGGGTTCCTACTAAAATAGACTACAGAAAAAGGGTACCCTTATTCTAACCTTCAAGACTGGAGGACCTAGATGTATCGTGGCCAGAGATTCCCTTCAGCTCTCAAGTTGACTTGCCGAGGTTCTTCCCCGAATGGCGGGAGCAGTGGGGCAGCATGGAGGCCGTCCTGTCTCGAGACATCAAAGGCGCCTGGGGCTTCAATGTCCGCTTTCCTACTGAGAGTGCGTGCGTGCGTGCGTGCGTGCGTGCGTGCGTGCGTGCGTGCGTGCGTGCGTGCGGGCGGGTAACCACTTGCAGCAGCCACTTACTAACCTGGCCGAACATCCAAGTTCGGAAGCACTCACAAGAAAGTAAGAGTTGCTTGCCAAACACGGTGGAGCCCCGAACTATTGCAAGCGAACCTGCCGACCACATCACATATCACACACACACACACACCCACCCACCCACCCACCCACCCACCCACCCACCCACGCACGCACGCACGCACGCACGCACGCACGCACCCCGCTTAGGGGGACTTTTGACGGCGTAATCACCTAGGTTACCAACAACTTACTAACTTGGCCGAACACTCAACTACCATGCTCAACCTCATGGCCGATTCCCTACCACAGCCCAAAAGCGTCCACACCCCACAAAAACGGCGGACATCTTGGTGCCGTCAAGTGGGGGTAGGGCAGGGCCCAGATACTTTGCGACCCCAGTTGTCCTATGGTAGTCATTGATCCCACTGGCTTAAGAACACTTTTTTATTTTCCCCCTGTTGGTGCAAATGGAGGTTACTAGCCCTGATGATAATAGTGCCTAATAAGGCTTATTGGGATCCAGGGGCCCGCCCCTTCCTAGGAGATGTGGGTTCTTGACTCCCAAGTTGTTGGATCATGTTCTTAGATCTCCCCTTTGGTCGTTGCTTTTCTGGTTTTTCTTTGGTACTTTTTTTTGTTTGGCTGCAAGAAACCAAGCTGTTCGCTGGAAATTCCAGTAGTGCCTCATAAGGCTTGCTGTTTACTGGCAACCTGTTTTTTTTGGTTCTGTTCATTTTTCGGATTGGGGGCTGCAACAAAACAAGTTTGTTTGCCATACCGTTTGGGTTGGACAGGTTTCCCGGGCCGTTCCTCGGCTCAGGCAACTGCGGCATGCTCAGGGCCGAGGGCGAGCCTCCTAGCGCTGTCTTCAAGGCATCTCACCGGGTCCGTGTGCAAAACTTTTGAAGGGGGTGTGACACCCAAATGTTTTTGTTGTTTGTTTGTTTTGTTTGTTGGTTGGTTGGTTGGTTGGTTGGTTGGTTGGTTGGTTGGTTGTTTGTTTAAAAAACATGTTTGTTTGTTTGTTTGTTGTTTGTCTGGATTTCGGCCCTTGTCATGTTCCCTGCCAACAAAACAAAGAATGGTACCCTCCAAAAATGACACGTCCGCACGTTAAAACCACCAAACCGAAAAAGGAGAAAGGTACCCTCCAAAAATGAATCACACACCCAAACGGGTGTGCACATGTCTTGTTTTCGAGGGTGCCATATTGGTCTCAAAGGGGAAGTCAAACGGTCCCAGCGGGTGTCCCTAGCTTCAAGACAAACTCATGATTGGTAGTCAAATGGTCCCAGAGGGGGTCCCTAACTCATAAAGTGGGGAACCTGCCAGGAAAAAAGGGTTCAAGTAGGTGTCCTTTCCCGTGAAACAACGTGCCCCAAGCAATGCGCCAGAGCTGCCGGGACTTCTTCGTTCAGAACGCCCTGCGCTTGAGCCGGCGACAGAGCGTGCTGCTGGGAAGCTCGTCAAGCTGCTTTTTCCGGCGCCGGTGGTCAGCTCGATTGTTAAGACTACTGCGGATGGACGAGATCCTCTTAGGCACCACCTAAAACACCCTGGTTTCTAATGATTCCCCTCTACATACCAATAAACAATGGTTTCAAACGTGGATTGAAATTGGTGCAGGATTTCGTCTACCCACAGTATGTGTGTGCTGTTTGGACCCTGATGCCGCCTCTGCGAGACAGTGCCAGAACGGGTCCCTAATTTTGAGAGCCCCCTCAAAATGGTTGGGGGTGTGAATGGATGGCGAGTCGGATTCATTTGGTTTTCCTGCCGACCAATCCTGCAGCCTTCACCGGGCTGAGGCCTGATTGGAATCGGAGGCCAATGATTTTTGCCTCCCCCCCCCCCCGCCACGCCCGACGCCCAGCGGAACCACGATTCCCACCGCCTACGTCTAGTTGGGGAATATGAGTTGCATCAGGGGCCCTACAACCCCCCCCCAATCCTCATTTGATCGGACCCTTCTGGCTTATCAGCCCTTCACCCCAAGATGTTTGGAAAGTTTCCCAGTTGTTCAGTAACACCCTTTCGCCTTGTCTGGTGGATGTTTTTTTCTCAAAAGTTGTGAGCCCGAAGCGTCACCCCTGGTTGACTCTCAGTCGAGGAACTTGCCGGGAACTCTCCAGCTCTTTGAGTGACGGCAACGAGGTGGATGATGCCGATGACGACTCCGATGAGGCGGAGAACGTTGTTTGTTTGTGTTTCCTGCCTGTCCTGCCTGTCCTGCCTGTCCTGCCTGTCCTGCCTGTCCTGTCCTGCCTATCCTGTCCTGCCTATGCTGTCCGCGTGTCTGTCTGTCTGTCCGTCTGTCTGTCCGTCTGTCTGTCCGTCTGTCCGTCCGTCTGTCTGTTTGCCTGTCTGTGTGTCTGTCTGTCTGTCCGTCCGTCCGTCCGTCTGTCTGTCTGTCCGTCCGTCCGTCCGTCTGTCTGTTTGTCTGTCTGTCTGTCTGTCTGTCTGTGTGTCTGTCTGTCTGTCTGTCTGTCTGTCTGTCTGTCTGTCTTTCTGTCTTTCTGTCTTTCTGTCTTTCTGTCTTTCTGTCTTTCTTGCTTTCTTTCTTGCTGTTTTTTCTTGCTTTCTTTCTTTCTGTCTTTCTGTCAGTCAGTCGGTTTTCCGTGTTTCTATGTTGCTTCGAGCTGTTACCGCAAAGTAGGCTAGCAACATCTATGAACTCTTGTCGGACTTTCGGTTTCCCGCGCTTGGTCCAGTGTTTCAAGCAAAGCCCCCCTTCCCCCGACCCAGACTTGTTGTCCCCTTCTGAAGGAGCACCAGGCAAATCTCATCCCCAAAGGCGTACATCATGTGCAAGACTCCAAAGGAACGCGACACCAACCTTTTGGATGCGAAAGGGCAAACGGTTTCGCTCTTCGGATGGTACAAGAAGGAGCGCAAAGGAACGAATCCTTGAGGGACCCTTTGGTGGACATGGTCCTGACTGCTATTGGGCAACGGATCTTTAGACTTTAACTTTTTGGGAAGTAAAGGTGTTTGCCACTAAGCCTCCAAAAAGTTATTATTCACTTGCAGGGGGGTCCTGCCAGCAACCAAGTGGTGTATCGAGGATGTCCCTGCTGCCTGGGACCTCGCATGGCCCTGTGTTTCTTCAAACGCCCCGTGTTTGACCATGGGTTGCATATACGACCCGTATGAAACCTGTATTTTGGTGAACACTATTCATAACTGGACGAGACATGTTTTTTTTCAGCCAAAAGCGTATGACCAAAAGAACAGCCATATGCGGTCCCTGATGTTTATGTTACATGACTAGGCCCGGAAAGGAAGAGAGAGAAAGAGAGAGGGAGATCAGTATTACAAGGCGTTACACAGTCAAAAAACAGACACACACGTCTCTCATGGTCGCGAGTCACGCGGGGAATTTCTTTGAGGATCCCGCAAACAGACTGGCTTTTCACCACCTACCTGGTGTGGGTCTTTATGCCCCTTCCTAAAAACAAGGATGGAACCCAGCCGGAGGCAAGTCGTCTTCTGTGAGACGGGCCCCTTTCAGGATTTCATATTTGTGTTTGGGATGGTGTTACCCTCCCGTCCACCATGGAACCCGGGGGGGTTCCTTAAAGAACACTTGCCCAAGCCAGGAACCTCCCCCCCCCCATTTCGTCAAGTTCCATGTGGAGGCTGGCCACTATAGAAACGCTGCGGTGGATGCCAACTCAGTAGGGGAACAAGGGAACCCCCCAGATCGACTGTAATTTACCATGGTTTCTGTGGGTGGGCGAAGTTGTTTACTTGCAATGTTTAGGGATATTTAGGCTGCCTCCACAGCACGTTCACGATTTTCTCTTGGGATAGTTGTTTGGGTGTAGTGGAAGCCTTTAGACGAGCCGAGTGGACACCTCTCAGGTGTGACCCCTTTTCCACGCGGGTCCATTGGATTGGAGATGTCCCGGGTCCGGGAGTCTCCAATGCACCTAGGAGAACCAGGCATCTGAAATCCAAGTTCATTCCACACCACCAGTTGACCACTTGGAGTTGTTTCTGCTTCTTGAAACTCACAGAAATAGACCTGGCCAACCTGAAGTAGGGGAACTGCTCGCATGGTTTCCTTTGGTTTCTCCGATGTTGTAGTTGTTTCCCTTCTTGGTTTTAAAGGGAATTCTATCACTGGACATACTGTGGATGGACGAAATCCTCTTAGACACCACCTAAGAAGCCCTGGAATGATGATTCCCCTGCAAATGCCAACAATGGTTTCAACCATGGTTTCAATTCGTGGTGCGATTTCTGGAGTTCGTCCACAGGTTTTTCGCATTTTGTTCCAGGGCTGGCGCATTCTCATTTGCCCCCCCCCCCCCCCCAAAAAAAAAAAAGCAAGAAAGCCAACCACGAAAGCAACACCACAAACCTCGAGCTTCCCCTATAACCCGGGGGGGGGGGGGGGGGGGCGCGGGCGCACGCGCACCCGTCGAGGACGAGGACTTCGGTGAGGACGGGGTGCGGGAGATGGCCCGCGCCGCCACGGTGGCGGTGATGATGCAGCTGCCGCAGCCCAGGATCATGACGCGCATCGGGCGCCTCGGAGATTCCTTTTTTTGCGGGGGGGCTTATGTTTTTGTTTGTTGTTGTTTTGTTTTTAGGGTTTTCATGGTTTTTAGGGTTTTTAGGGTTTTTAGGGTTTGGGGCATAGGGTTTGGGGTTTGGGGTTTGGGGCAAAGGGTTTAGGGCTTTTAGGGATTTCAGTTTTTTTTGTTGGTTTATTTTTTTTTTTAATGTTTTTGTTTTTGGGTTTTTGGGTTTAAGGTTTTGGGTGTAGGGTTTAGGGTTGCTCCGTCGCCATATCTATACGCCTCATACGTTTAACGTTGGTTTTTTAGTGGGGGCACCCACAAACGCGCCACGCGCGTTTGTTTCTTCCTATTACAAGGTCCCTTTGAAACCCAAGTTGCATTTTGAAGATGATCTTGTCGCCATGTCACGCAAACTCTTTGGGGTACAAAACGAAGTCCGCCGAGTGAGGCTTATGGGCAATGGGAAGCCAGTTTTGGTTGGTATTCTCACTCCCTGGCTTCATAGACTTTAAACTTTTTCGAATATACTAGTTTTTTTAGATTTGTGTAAGGGAAGCCAAACAGAACACAATTTTGCAATTCTCCCTATTTTGGGATGTATCCGTATGACCTTGATTTGCAAATTTATGCGTTTCGATTCTATTTGGTCCATTAGGTAATCTAATTTGCACTTTTGAGCCATTACACCACTTGCAGCAGGATGTGTTGGGCCCCTTGGATAGCATGGGGAGTGCATGTTGTGACTGAACGTGTGGCCTTTGGGGCCAGCATTCAGAAGGTCAGTCTGAGGATGTCACTTTGGTCCCAGTATGTATGGTCAAAATGTGGCCCTTAAAGCCCTATTTAGGTGTTATTTGGGCTCCCCCTCCATGAGAATGTATGAACACCTGGGCTTGGCATCTTCCTTTGCAGGGAATGTTAAGCTGACTTTGTTGGAATTGGTCCAAGATATGCGATGGTTTCAAAGGGAACCACAAGAGAACCAAAGTTCAAGTTAGGATGATGATGTGTGATTTTCCCAGTGACTTCTATTCTTACTGTTCTTGGCAAGTTGTTTGGTTTTTCGGCTTTGTTGGTTCTGTTCATGTTTAGTAGGGTGCTGCAATAAATATACTACCATACCAAGGCTATTGAAGTTTGAATTCCTTGCTCCAGTGCCAAGCCTCGCTTGCGCAGCTTTCTGAAACAAACGCAAACTATCGTTTTTAATCTCTCAGCTTTTCTCCTAAGTTGCGAAAGGTTTGAAAGGTTCCGCCCCCAGGTTTCCCAAGTCACTTTTTATTTGGGGGGGGGGAGCTGGAGACGAGAAGCTCCTCGGATTCCACGTTTGGAATCCTCCATCGCGGGACCGATGCCCGAGGTCGGCGTGGAAGGAGTTGCAGGCCCTTGGCTCCAACGACGCCCTTTGAGAACCGCGCGCCGTCGCCTTCCGGCGCGAGGCGCGCGACTGGCGCGTGAACGGCGGGCGGTTTGAAGGTCTGAGTTGGGCCACTATTTTGGTAATTAGGGGGCACAAGGGAAAACACTCCGGAGCATCCAAACCCGTGAAGGAAACTGTTCAGGGAGTACCGCAATCCCCTTTGCTCGCCTATCAGGGATCGAGTTGGAATGAATCCGAAATGAACCACCAAGTGCCAAGGACGTATTTGGGTGTCTTTTTGAGGGAACCCCGTCTTAGCTGGTTTTTAGAAGAATCCAAAGGGAAACCACAAATTTGGAGGGTTCCCTATTTTGAGACACCCCATTTGCAGGAAACCCGAGGGGATTTTTCCTTAAGGGGACAAGGGTGCTGGTTCGATTGGCATCGACATGACGACTGCGCCACTAAATCACTGAACGAGTGAATGACCCCGAATGGAACCAAAAGCAAATGTGTAGTTATGAGAGCATGCATGAGCATGCATGAGCATAAGCCTTATCGAGCAATGCATCAAGAACTTCGGTCCCCGGATTCATCGGGAATCAGCTAAGGGAGGTCGGTTTTCCCAGTTTTGGGCCCAACAAACAGGCTCTCTCTCTCTCTCTCTCTCTCTCTTTCTAATCGGGATAATATGGACGCCAAAAATCGTGGTCTTCCGTTTGGCTTCCCTACGCAAACCCAGGGACCAATTGGTGGCAATCGCCCGCAATGCTCGCGCCGTCAACCGACCCTGGAGCCAACCACACTCGGATGGATCCTGGGGAGGGGAAGCTGGTTTTCCATTTTCTTCCCTTCCCGACTCGGACAAGTCGGGTATGGGTCAAACATGAAACCAGGATATGGATCGCAGATTTCAGTCCTTGTTTCCATTCACCAGGGTGGCATTCCGGGTATACCTATTTGAATGACCCACACCCAGTAGAGTAGACAATGTGTGAAGCAGCTTTCGCGAAAACGGAAAGGAAAAAGCACACTGGATCAGCTTGTGGAGAAAAGGAGCGCGGCGCTTTCACTTCCCCATGTTTTGGGGTGGCAGTCCACCCAGTACGTCCACACAAAACTTGGGGAAGGGGGGGGTCCCTACCTAGTGCGACACCCCCCCTCGTTTCATGGGGGCTGGGGGGGAGGGAGGGAGAGCCCAAATACGCCCTTATTAAGCCAACAAGGCCTATTTAGGTTTTATTTGGGCTCCCTCCCGCTCCCCTCCCTCCCCCCTAGCCCCCATCACCGGTTCCGAAGGTGGTGCCAGCTGAGGCCCCTTGCTCCTAGTCCTAGCTCTGCCGGTGGCTTTCATGGCACGGGGCCTGGATTGGACATCACCGGAGTGAACTCCGCTTTTTTTTTTTTTTTTGGGGGGGGGGGTATTTGTTGTTTGTTTGTTTGTTTGTTTGTTTGTTTGTTTGTTTGTTGTTTGCTCCTTCTTCTTTTTTTTTGGGGGGGGGTGCTGAAAACTCACTTCCTGAGTTCCTGCTTCCCGGACATCAAAGTTGGGCGGGTTCAAATTTGCCCCCGAACGCTGTTCCCACAGCCCCGCTGGAGTCCGCATTGGTCACAAACCCATGATCTGCGAGTCTCGCACCACTTGAAAAGAAACCATGCACTTGAAACCATACCGCTTGATCCTTTACTTGGGGATCCAATTCTTATTTCTGGTTTTGGGATATGGTTCATTTTGCAGATTTCAGGCCATCTTGCGAACATGCTGTGACCCCCACCCCGGCAAGAGAGACTACAAGCCAAGTGTGTAGTTCAAACTAGGTCTTCCAGTAGTGCCCTTTGCCTGTTACCCTTTTTTTTCGGGGAGGGTTCCCCTACTAAAATAGACTACAAAAAAAGGGCACCCTTATTCTAACCTCTCTACTGGAGGACCTAGCAGAGAATCTGGGGTTCAAGCCCCCAAATGAGCGAATGCCGAGGGCGGAGATCCCGGCACCCAGCGGACCAGCCTTCGGCCTCAGCGATGGGAAGCCTTCGCTCGTCGATTCGTCGCCGGTCCAAGAAAGAATACGAAGGGAACCCGAATTTATTCGTGAATTACCGTGTTTTTTTTGTGGTTTAGCCCCCTAGTTTACGGCAAATTCTGGCTTTCTGGTTGGGTGTGGTTGTTTTGGAATGTTTTGGGCATCCACCGCACGTATCGGGGGGATGAGACGGAGGCAGGAACGCCAATCTAAAGATCGCCAAGTTCCTGGAAAAGCTTTCCTGTATCTGCTGTAGGGTAACCTGAGTTTCCGACCTCCATCGCATCTGCCAACTTTATGGGTTTCGAGCGATTCGGGGTGTCACGAGCTCACTATCATGTATGTCCTTCTGAAGATCCAATTCTTACTTCAGATTTTGACATATCTATATATCAAATATAGAGATATGTATAATATTATATGTGTATATATATATAGATATGGAACAATCATGCAGATCACATGACGGTTCCTCTGTTGTGAAAGCAGCGCGGCTTGGGCCGTGTGACATTTGAGCAGTGCGTGCCGCAGATCACCCGAGGCACTTACTCAGAGAGGTGGAAGGAGGCGCCGGCGGGGAAAGTCCTTGGCACACAGCCCGGGCTCCGGCCTCCAAGAAAAGGGGCACCAAAGGAAGAAGCAACAGGTGTGGTATCCAACCCCTGGTAGGGCAAGTCTATACCCCAGGGCCACACCTAGGATATGACGAGGCCTAGCTTCAGAACTCGGGTCGTGGTTTTGAGGCCTTGGGAAATTGTTTTTGCGCCCTGGATCGTGTATCTCGGCCAGGACCCCAATGACCCACGCTGGAAGGGCCGCAAGTTCGAGTGGTTCTTTACGGAGAAGGACGAGGCCAGGTTCGGGGCGCGGAATTTCCACTGCATCAAAACGGCCATGTGCTGGAGGCGATTTACAGTGCAGCGAACCTGTGCAATCATTCTTCTGGGGCTGATTTCTTGATGCGGTGATGTGTGATGCTTCTTTCTGGCACCATTTTTTAAGAAGCTCTCATGTGAACCAACACAGTTTATCAATAAGGGTGCGGTCCCTGGGTGAAACGTGGGGAAAATCAGATCACTTTTGGAGGATTCTCCCCCCCCCCCTATCAAAAGAACTGGGCTTGATTGATCTGGGGTCCACAAAATCTCCCCCTGCAAATTTCCCGGAGGAACCCGATTTATTCATTTTTTTTTGGCACAGAGCTTCCTTCAAAAAAACAACAAAGAGGTTTTGAATTCGAGGACAACTTGCGGGGCAGTACTTGAAGAGGTTTGAGCACTTCCTTTCAAGGGAAGCCGCAAGAGGAATGTGCTTTTGCTTTGTTTCCGCCTTCTGAAGCTTGTTAAACCGTTTGGAAGCCAGTTCAGCACTCCGACTTGAACAAAGGACATGTGTCTTTGCTCAGAATGGAGAAGCTCTCAAACCGGGTCATGTCCATTGCCTATTGCTCTTGCCTATTCTTTGCCGCTCTTTGCTTGGCTGCTAGGACTTCAACCTTTTGCCAATTAAATGGGTTTTCCGGAAACAAATAAGAAAAGAACAAAAAACAGAAGAAAAGAACACACCAAAAGTGGGTCAAACTTTGAGCAGGGCCTCGCAGATTTATCTCGCCGCCGAGTTTATGGCTATCGCAAAACGGGAAATGAGCGGTCGGCGTGTGTAGCTGAAGGATCTGAAGCTCTCGAGCCTGCCGCGGCCGGGCTTTCTGCCCCCAGAGTTCTGGGAGGCGGGAGAAGCGAATCGGAGGCGGGAGGCGGAGGCGAGGCGAAGAGGTGTGGACTTCCAGTTGCGTATGGGAGTATTTGGTTCATTTCCCCTGATTGGTTCTAAAGGGAAGCTGATCACTACTATTTTTCAATTTCCCCTGATTGGTTTTAAAGGGAATCGGATCACTACTGGAAAAATGAAATTATTTTTCCCGGAGATCTTAAGCAAATGGAGGTCGAGGATGCGACGTTGGGACCCGGCAGTTTGAAGTTTGAGGCTTTTTCCCTTCAAACCACAACTCACTCCCTAAGTTCCTGGACTTTGAACTTTTGGGAAGACCATGTTGATCATAGGTGTCCTTCTTGGTTTGCCTAAAAAATAGAGGGCCCTGGTTTAGATGGGGTTCATTCCATTTACCAGGGCCATCTATTTTTCCAAAAGGCCACCTGTGATGTTGGTGGTAAATCATCAGTTTGGACTTTTTGTTGGCCAATCCACTCGATCGGTGCGACAAGGTTGGTGTCCCTTTCCTCCATTGTCCCTTTTGGAAGACGAAATAAATGTAATTGGGGGACCCCCCCACCTCCCCCTTAAGGTAGGGGGTATGCTAAACCTAAATGACGCCAAAAGGGCAAGGCCATTCTTTAATTTGTGCCCCTCCTATTTACATTTTCGCACCCAACACGTTGACCTGCCATTTCTTGGGCACGCGTGTTGTGAGATGCTGCGAGTGCTCATTGTCCCGGACAACAGTTTGCCTGTGGAGTGGCCTCGCATGATTGTTCAGAAGCGTATGCCAGTATCTTAACGCAGTTGCTTCCTTTTTGTTGTGTGTGTGTCTCGGTGTTCACTATTTCCACTGTCTAATTATTGTTTTTTGAGGACTAGTTAGTTTGAAGACTCTTGTGATCCGCATTTGGACATTGTCGAAAGGTCCGTTTTGGGACACTTCCAAAATGAAAGCCGCCAGTAGGTGTCCTTTGGCATGACACGCCCAATCATCATCTCACTGGCTGCATTCGGCATCAAAGGGGGTATTTGGCTGCCATCGATCAGGCCCCCACTCAACTTCTCATCTAGGACGATCAGATGGCCATTGCTTTTCCGTAGGCATTCTACGAGAAGGGCATCTTCATCGCAGTTTTCCAAGGGGCCACACTGCCCCTTGGTCTCAGCACAGCAAGAGTGGTCATACTGTGAATGGGAATCCATTTCACACCAGGTGGAAACCATGCGAAACCAATTGTTGGTTGGTGTTGACAGGAAAGTGACCATTAAGGGTTTCTTACGTTGAGGAATTTCGTCCACCCACAGTAGGATGGCGACTGAGACAGCTCAGTGCTGTTAGCTAGCGCAGTGGCCAGGCGTGCGCATGCATTTTGCCATGGCATATTTCAGCACCTGCAACCTTGTTCGCGGCACTGAGGATCGGCGGCTTCATTGTGATTTTCCAATTTGCCAGTGCCCAAGATGGACATGATGGATTTTTCAGGTACCCCGGAGATAGGCACCTCCCACTTAGGAGCCTCCATGGTATCCCCAACCATCCGAGTACCCAAAACAGCCGGCGGTTGCAACAGGCGGGTGCCTAGCTTGCTTAGATTTGCTCCAAAGCCTGGTGCACTAGGCCGAGGCAGGCAGGCAATCACGAGGCCCCATATGTGATCAACGGCATCCTCTCATCGATTCTTGGCATAGGCAGGGCATGAGCTGCGCGGCATTCAATCGGTCCAAACTCGAGCCCAAAAATACAAACCTGTGACCCCACAACGTTCGACAAGGTTCCACACGGTGACCCCTGTTTGTGGAGATTATACTCGGGACTTCAGGGGCGTTTTTTCCTTTGCAAAATCAACACCCCTGGCTTTAAGTCGACTTTGGGGGTAGTCCAAAAACACAACCCTGAGGGTCCAAGAAAATGGGTGCCGCTTCGATGTGCGGTCGCGTGTCGGATCGATCGCCAGGGCCCAAGTGAGTGGCCCTGCGATGGTGCTTAGCGGGCGCCGCGTCTGCTTGGCTAGTAGGACCACCCGCAGCTGTGAGAGCCAAAATGATGCGAGCCAGCTTGACATGCGGATGCCATTGGAGGAGATGTACGGTGGAAACAAAGTTGCAAGACTACATCAAGACTGCAACGCTGGGGCAGAATTTGCAAAAACTTGGTGTTCAATGTCCTTTCTGACCTGCCAGTCTCTCGACGGCTCATGTGGCTCAGTACGATGCAGCGCCGCATGCGGCGCCATGGATCACTGGCAGCCAGCAGGGGCCTTATTCAATGGTTGATTCAACGAGCCGAGCCTAGCACCTGTGGATGGAATGCATTTTGCACCTAAGAAACCATGGAATGACTCGATTCCCCGCCACAAAATGGTTTCCAGTGGTTTCCAAGTGGTGCAGGAATTTGCCCATTCACAGTTCCACGACCTTTGTCTTTCTAAAACCCCAGTGTCCAAGAAGCAGGACGAGAGAGGCTGAGTTTCCGACAGCCAAATGATGATTGGACATTATCAGCATTTATCAGCTGCTTTTGCCGAATGGCAAAGGGTTCTAACCTGGTCCAAAACGCATATAGGAAGGGAACTCGGCAAGTTATACGTTTGGGCACGCTCTGGCACGCTGTGGCAGCCTTGCAATCGCTTTTGGTTTGCGGCCTTGCCGTCATGAAGCTTTCTTTCACAGGGACACTGAAACATGATACCCCAGCCACCATAGGATACATCATGTTGATACGCGGTTACTGTATAGAGGTCTATATATATGGTTACTGTATAGAGGTCTATATATATATATATATACATGCTATCCTCAAACTGAAGGGTATGGAATTTTGTCGGCATTTCCTAAAGAACGACAAATTGTCAGCGTCGGCCCTAGGTGACGGGCAACAGGCCCACGTCGCCGGGGTCTCGGTCAGGGAAGCACCGGCCGAGCGTGGCCTGCAGTTTAACATGGACCCCACGGACTTGCAAATGGAATCAGCAAAAAGATTGTTATTTTACACGCCATCCCCTATGTTTCCTTTAAGGGAATCCCCAACACCGGTTCATTTCAACACCCTGGGTCACTCCCTACACTTCTCGCACCAGCAAGAGGATCATTTGTCTATGGACAACTCGTTTGGGCACCCTCTTTTTTTTTTTTGGTTCCAGGTTTGAGAAGTAAACCCGGTAATGCGTCCCGCGGTGCAGTCCGGAAGGCTCCCGGGGCAAACCTTGGGCCTTTTCCTTCTGGAGGCCCCCTGACAGGTTGCCTGCGAGCTCCATCCGCGAATCTTCAAATTTGCTCCGTTTGAAGCCGAGATTCCAGTTTGGGGGAAAATTGTACCACAGTCAAGCCAGAGCTTCAGCCCACAAAGTAGTGGTTCACCAGGGGCTCACACTGACTTTATGGCCCAGTGGATCCAACTACGCGCCATGGCAGGCAACTAGGATTTGGGTTGCTCCAGCTTCAACATGATAAGATTCCCTTTGTTATGGCACCGAGACCAAGAGACCCCTTGAAAAAAATCCAAGGGAACACGGATCTGGTCACCTGGTCACCATGTGGGGTAACTGGCCCTTTGGCCCTAGGTTGCCGCCGCTGCCAGCGCCCCAGCTCCCCAATTTGGTCAGCCTCGTTCCTGGTTTCTTTTGTTAGAAGGGTTCCCCCTTAGAATCAACGACCAAAAAAAGGAGTGGCCTGTTTTCTCATGGCCACGGGACTGGGGTAATGGTGTGAATTTGAGGGGAGCTGAAAGGGATTTACGCAAAGACCAGCCTTCGGGAGGCGTTGTCAAGTTGTGCCATGGTTCTTGAAACAATGAGGACCTGCAGAACGCCGCCAAGCCACAGAATGCTAACCCCGGATTAATAAACCCCTGGTTGGTTTTGATCGGGGGGTGTCCCCTTTTAGTGCTTGGATTCAGACCACTTTTGGAGGGAACACCCCCCTAATAATGGGACGGGTATTTAAAAAAATCCTGGGTCAACATTATACGGGCCTTTCCCTCCAAAACCAATTCCCACAACCGACTTGTGGCTAGGTGTTTTCTTCTTGGTCAGTCGAGGAATGTCTGGCCAGCCAACCCACCGGGTCAAAATTGGACCAGGGGACCGCAGGATTTAACCAGGGTTCCATTGTGGGCTTCCTTTTCTGAGCCACACCAAGCAAGCTTACTGACAAGGGTTACAAAGGAATACATCCATTCCACAGAGCCTCTACGGAGTTGGTGAATTATAGCAAGTTGTGTTGATTGATGACCCCTCTCTCTCTCTCTCTCGCAAGTGCACAGAAGCTTTCAACAGCGAGGCCCTGTCATCACTAGGCAAGCCAACGGATGCAGCATTTTGTCCAGTCTTGGGTGCTTCTTGGTTCGACCTTCATTATGTTGTTTAAATGGTTTAAACTTTTAAACCAAATGTTCTCACTTCACCAGCCCAAAGTCCATCACGTTAAATCCAGAAAAGTACATTGGACTTTTTGGAGGCCCTAAAGGGCAACACAGGTTTGAGGGCTGGTCTGCTCCCAGGTTGGATCTTGGATCCTGAACCGGCAAAGTTGTGTTTCCATTCGCTTGGGCAGCTAGGTCCCCCGGTGCCCTTCTCTCCCCTTTTTTGGGGGAGATTCGGTTCCCCTACTAAAATTTTGACGAAACGGAGAAAAAAGTCGGGCACCCTTATTCTGTCCTCTCTACTGGAGGACCTAGGCAGGGAATGTGGGAACGAACACAGGGATTCCCTTAAAGGCAACCACCAGTTGGATGGTTTGTAGGGGGCAATCCCCTATTTAATTATCAGAGGACATAGGCAGGTTGTGGCACGGTTTTTCAGTTTTTTGGGTAATGGTAGGTGGCTTGGGCCCTGCAACAACCCGTCTCTCTGGGAATCCGTCTCCGGCCCCGCGAAAGATTTCAAGCGAGGCCCCGGAAGTTGGACCGGGCGGCCGTCGCCGGGGGAGCCAGTCCAAGGGTATGTTTCTTTATTTGTGTGTTTTGTTTTGTTTGTTTCTTGTTATTTGTTTTTGTCTTATTTTTGTTTTCTCTTTTTTTGAGTTGTCATGGGTAGATTGCATGTTTCCCTGGAAGGTTTTGGTTGGGGGTCTTGTTTCTTCTAGTTGCCTTTCAGAAGACTGGTGTATTTCCCCTGGTTTTACCGGGGATCGGTCGAAGAGTTTCCCGCATTTTTCCAGGGGGGTATTCGCAAGACAGTGGAGGTGTGTGTGTTTTGTTTGGGGGGATGGGGGGGGGGTAGGGGGTGGGGGTGCATGGTTTTAGTGGTGGGAGACCAAGTGTGTTTCATGGGGTGGTGGTTGACCACAACTGGAGGAGTGCTTTTTGGGAGGGGTTGGTGTTCTAACTTGGATTATTTTTGTTGAACGGTTTCTTCAATGGCTGGAACCAACTACTTGAATGTTTTATAACTGTTCCAACGGGATTTTAAGCAGGCGTTTGGCCTCGAGCATCGGGGAAATGCGCAACGAATCGTTGGGCTTGGTTTTTGGGGCGGGCTCCCCTTGTCAGGCTTCTGTTTTTTGTTTGGTGGAGGGGGGGCTGAAGAACCACAAGGACAATAGCGGCTTACCTAGAGTAATAGCCTTGGTTGTCAACCTATTTGGAGGCTTGGACCATCCAAATGACTCAGGCAGAGTTTGTTGTTTCGCGTTTTTTTTTGCAACTCATGTGACACACTTGCACGAAACACATTTTTGCCATGTTCCCTGGGTTGGTTCTGCTGGTTGGGTGCTCCAAGCTGGTCCCCTAGTCTTCGTTTCTGCCATTGGCTCATTTCGGGCTGAAGGCCGGGGCCGCGACACTTCGGACCGAGACCGTTGAGACAAAAGGCTCGGTTTGTCGTGTTTTTTGTGTTTGTTTCTTCCTTTTTTTTCCGGTTTGTCCCAGTTTGTCACTGGGATTGTTTTTGGTCAAGTTCAGTTTTGTTGATAGGGACCAAGCAAGATCCGGACATATATGTATGGCATTGTCTAGGGGCCAGCAAAAAATGGGCTCCCTTAAGCCACCCGCCAAACAGGGTTCCGAAATCCATTTTGAGAAGCCTTAGTCTTTTTTTCTGTTTGGCGTATGGGAGCACGTTTTCTTGGGATGCTGGAATGGTGCAGCACCCGAGGTTGAGTACACGCGGGGCCTGGCTCCACTGTGCAAGCCGTGCCCACAGAGGGGCGGTTTTTGATCGAGTTGGCATTTGAAAGTTACACTCCTCACTGGGTTTATGGACTTATACTTTTTTGGAGGCCAGAAGCAGTGGCAAATCGAAAGTTCGGATTGTTGGGCCAATCCACTAGGGAACCGAAAGCCATGCATTTTTTGCAGATCATTGGAATCCCAAAAGCACCTTTTACAGAGGAGCCTCCACTTGAAGGATTCTCTATCCATTTTTTGGGCGGGTCCAGGTTCATTTGCACCGGACCCGGGTTGAGGGTGTTGCTTTTTTCGGAAGCCCCTGTTGGTCGGTTTCTTCTCGGGGAACCAAAGGGAAAGCCATCCTTTTGGGGCTTCGAAGCTTAGTTTTGTGAGACATTTACGAGGGAAAACGGAAGTGTCCATGAATGTTGCATGGTTTTGTGCGCCATTCTGCAAGGTGGTTGAGTGTGGTGGTTGTTTTCTTTTCCTTGCAAAATGCCGTACTTATCGAATGCATGGACTTCAGTCACTTCTTTGGGTTTGGTTGCCATTTGGGTGGGACACAAGAACATTGATTGCAGTTTTTGGCCTATCCACTCAGGAAGTGAGATGCAGTACCTGGGTATATGCAGACTCCCGATGTATGACGCGACAGGGTTCCGTTTTTGGACTACCTCAAAGTTGGCTTAAACCCAGTGGTTGATTTCCCAAAATGGAAATCTCTGGGTTTCAGTCTACCTTGTGGTCCAAACACGGGTCATGTGCCGCGATCTTTGGATTGCTCCGCTTGCCTTTGGCCGGAGCTTTGAGCTTCCGGGAGGCCACGACATATCGGGAGCGCGACCGAGCTTCAGACAGGTGCGTCTTTCGAGTTCAACCCTGTCGCCTACATATTTTGCTAGGTCCCTCACGGGTGGAAAAGTGGGTTTGATTTCCATGGGAGGAAATCAAGATTTTGGGGGGTAACTACTGATCTAGGTCCCTGAGCTAGGTGCCCTTTCTCACCCCTTCCGGGGAGATTCGGTTCCCTACTAAAATAGGCCACAGGAAAAAGTCGGCACCCTTATTCTAACCTCTCAAATCTGGAGGACCTAGCTTTTGTTGTCTTTCAGGATGGACGTTGTGTGGATGAAGGCAATCCGTTCGCCCCGCTTGGAAATGCGGGGAAATCGAACCATTCCAGGGTTCCTTAATAACATGTTGCATGCTTTTAGGTTTGTAGGTTTTTGGGTTCTGTTCATTTTGACTAGGGGGCTGCAACAAGCCAAGCATTATTACTACCAGACCGTTTGGGTTGGACAGATACTCCAAAACAAAGACGGCCATTTTTCCCCTTGGCCACCGGGGGGGGGGGGGGTTTGGGGTTTGGAGCCCTGGAGCCCTGGTGCCTGCGATGTTTCGATCCGAGGCCCGGCGTTCGGCGGCTCAAGTACTTCGGCCGGAGCCCCGAGAGAACGGTCCAGGGCTCTCCCGAAATTTCTTCTCCGCACTTCCTGAGTCCTTAAGGGGCAACTGAGGGATAGGTCAGTTTAAAAAGTCCTCCAATTTTCGGAGGAATCTTGACTGCTATTGGGCAACGGATCTTTAGACTTTAACTTTTTGATTCAAATCATATCGAGTGTTCCACTAAACCCCCAAAAGCTGAGTTCTTGGACAGTCACTTTTCAACCAGACCATTTTGGTGGCCAAGCATTCATTCAGTTGGGCCTTGTTGGCCAATCCCAATTCGATCGGAAGCGAGTTTCAGACACCTCTTCGGCAACTTTCGAGTTTGAGCTTCCTTTTCTTGACTGCTATTGGGTTGGATCTTTAGACTTTAACGTTTGGGGAAATCAAGGGGGTTTCCACCAAACCCCCAAAAAGTTAAACTTTTTGCAGGGGGGTCAACAGCAACCAAGTTTTGAGATGGAGAACAACAAATTGGGCCAGGTAAACTGAAGCTCAGGTCCGAAGTCCTTGTTGCTCCCAAGTCCTTCAGGTTTCTTAAAGGATCCCTGAGACTTCCGGGGGCTTCTTCACTTCCAAATTTGGTGGAGAGCAGGTCTTGGGTGCGGTTCTCTTTTTTTTGGGGTGGGAACCCCTTTGGTTTCAAGGGGAGGCCAACAATTTGGGGCCCAATGTAAGACAACCCCTGTTGATGTGTTGTTTTTCTTTTTTTGTTTCTGGGAAGGCCTTTGTGCAAACAGCACGTTTCCGCTTTCGTCGAGCCCTTTCTGGGGTGCGCCAAACGAAATTTGCTGCTCCTTTCATGGCCGAAAGGACGGGTCTTGCAAACGGCTCGGGCGGATAAATTCCATGAAGCCTTGTCTAGGTCCCCCCAGCTAGGTGCCCTTTCTCACCCCGTTTATGGGGGAGATTCGGTTCCCTACTAAAATAGACTACAGAAAAAAGTCGGCACCCTTATTCTAACCTCTCAAATCTGGAGGACCTATTTGGGCTAAGCCGAGGGGTTGAGGGCTTCTGGGCACTCACCTTAATCCGGTTCATGCCAGCCCCTGAAGTGCGCTGACACCCTTAAGTTGTCTTTATTTTCATGGTCACTTGTCCAAAGCCGACCATTCGACATTTTGTTGCTCCCCTTTTGGTCCGCTTTTTAGTCGAGGTTTCCAAAGATGAATCCTTTGCTTTCAGCCCCTTTGGGCAAGTGAGCATGTCATACACAGATGCACACTGGTCATAGGTTCCTGTTTCGCTTGCTGAAGCAGGCCCTGATACAACCAGTCTGCCGGGCTGTTCGACCCGGGGGCCTTTTGCTCGCTTCAGGCCAGCAGCAATGGACGCCGCCCGGCCCGAGGATGGACGTATGGTTGAGAAAACTTGGTTTTAGGGTATGGCGTGTCACCAAACCCCCGAGAAGACAAGGAAAGTTGGGAGACTTCCACCTACAGTCACCAGGCTCAGGTACTTTAGGAATGCGGCACATCGACGCAACTCAAACCAAACTGACGAATACTCCTGTACAGATTAACATGGAGCAGCATGAAGCCACAAACCCGTCATTTGTAGAGAACACTCCTTTTGGTAGCTGGATCCCCCTTGTCAATTTGCAGCGGATTGTGTGTGTGTGTGTGACACTGGGGTACGGATGCCCTGTCCATGTTGCAAGGCAAGCCAACAACATCCACTTGCACAAGGGTGTTTTCAGCTTGCCTTTTGGCAGGGTTTCGGACCCCTACTCGCAGTGCTTAGGGTCACCATGCATCCATGCTTGTGGAAAAGCACCCCCCCATGACTACTTGCCCATTTTTCAATCGGTTCCCTTGGTATCCTAGAAATCGGACATCAAGCCTGGTTTGTCACAACCATGGGTCCAACTCCACCAGAAAATAGGTCTCCAAAACAAGGCCCCCCTCAATTAATGGATGTGTTTTATGCTTACGGCTTCCCTTCAAAGCCAAGCAAATCCGGGGTTCCAGAGAATTGATTTTGGGACGCCTGCTGGGCGAGATTCCCAAGTTGGTCTATTTTGGTCCGCCGTTTTTGAGAACTCTGCGGGTCCCCTATTTTGAGACTCACCCACACTATTTCCGGAACTTGTCAGTCGAAGATCATCACATCCCTTCTGCAAATCACTGGACCCCCCCCCTGCAGGCGGCGAGGAATGCATCCTCATTGAGAAAGAACACTCTGACTGTGAGTATGTTAATCAGGGAGTTCCGTTACAAACCGTTTGTTCGGCGAGGAGCACAGGCAAGCGGGCAACACAGTGCCTTCATCTATGTCGATTGACCGCACTGCACCCAATAGTTGGGACTGTCTCTGAGTAGCATTGTACGGGGATTCAATAAGGGCTCAAACTTGCGCGATATGGTGATGGTAGTTTATTCTCCGGCCGCCGGACAAAAAAACACGCCCCCCTCCCCCTTCTTGCTTTCCTGCCCCGGAATTGGCGCCAAAGCGCCCATTCTCAGCACAGGCACCGCCCGGACAGGCACGCAGTCTTCACATGCGGCCAGCGGCTCAAGCGATCCGGCGCATCGTCAACGGATGTCATGTTGTTCTAGGGGTTGCTTCCTTTTCCAATCTTTCCAACCATCGGTCTTTTCGAAAACCGGATCCGTTTCCCCTGGGTTTCCGGAGGTTTTCAAGAAGGATCCCTGGAAAGAATGCGGAAGGTAGCACTAGAATTCAGACTTGGTTGCCGTTTGCTTCCATTGCAAAACGAACATCGTTGTTGTGAGTCAAATAGAACATCCACAATTTCAATCACAAAGTTCATTACAATATATCCATAAAGTAGTTATAATTTTTCTTTTGGGGACGCCCCAGGAAACTTTCTTGCGTATTCATGGTGATTTGCAGAGGGGATTCCAACCGAAGACCACCTGGAACCATTTTGATTGGTAGGTGAATTCACCACCCATTTTAGAACCTATTTTAGTGGTTGGATGGGGATGTTCACTAAGAAAAAGTGATGTGGGTATGGGATGTTCAAAATTAAGCAACCACGATATGGACCGCAGGTTTTAGTGCATATTTCCTTTTACCAGGGTTCCATTTTGGGTACCGATTTTTGACCCACAGCCAATGAGTCACTAGCGCCGAGTTCGCCTCTTTGGCGATTGTAATTATATATTGTAGTAGGTGGCTCCACTCTCCGGTTGAAAGAGATTACAGCAAGGCCTGTACACACATAATATACTTATACAGACTTATACATCTGTCTAAGAACCAAGAGCCAGCGGGGTTTGTGTGCCGCTCACGACTCAGACACCCAGTGTTTGCCATCGTTTTTTTGGAGGGGACTCCTGTACAGTCAAGTGCGCAACAAATGCTTACCAGGAAAAGGAGTAGCCAAGAAGCTGTCATGATCAACAAGGGCAAGCAGATTCTGACTTGCAGATCACTTGTCTCTTTGCGACGCCTTTAGGCAACTTGAAAGCTGCAGAACGATGCAGTCAGCATATGGAAGGTTGGCTTTAGGCCAGCAGATGAAAGCCAAGGGAATCCCGAAGGATGTCATGCTGGGACTCGTGTACCCAGCGAAAAAATGTAGGTGACAAAGTATGGGGTTAAAAAGGGCTATGGCATCAGCATGCTGGAAAGGGTCATGCTGATATTGCCCACTCAATGTGCTGCTGTCCTGGCCATGTGGCTGCCCAGCCAAAGAGCGTTTAGCAGAGCTTAGCGTCATACTTGTCGATCGAATTCATGGGAGCAAATCGAAGAAGGCGCGCTTTGCCGTAAAAAAAACAAGCAGTGAAATCATGTGTGGAGGGGTGGGTTTATTTTGGTCCCGCCTTTTTAATTTTCCCGGCTGGAAAGGCTCGACAAGCATAGTATGCTGAGCGTCAGCGCGTGGGACTTGAGGTGCAGAGGCAGAGGTTAAGCCAGGATCTGAGAGGCGCCGACTCGAACGTGAGGCATGGTTTGACTGGCCAATGTTGACCCCATGGATAGGGCCAATGTTGACCCCATGGATAGGGGTGTCCCTGGGTGAAACGTGGGGAATCAGATCACTTTTGGAGGGGAACACCCCCCTATGAATGCACTGGGGTTCATTGATCTGGGGTGAACGTTACCCCCCTGAAAAATTGCCCGAAGGCACCCGAAAACTCTTTGTTTTTCCGCACAGAGCTTCCTCTAAAGATGAGGTTTTGAATTCGATGATGCAGGGGAGGACATGAAGAGGTTTGAGCATTTCCCACAGGGAACTCGCAAGTGTGAGCCTGGCTTCCACCTTCTGCACCTTGATAGAACCGTTTGGAAGCCACTTCGACACTCCGACCTGAGCAAAGGATATGTGTCACTCTTTGCTCAGAATGGAGAAGCTCTCAAAACGGGCGGCCGTTGGATTTCTCAGACCCAAAAAGGGTATATAGCCTCAAAGCAAGACGCCTGATTGGTGCCTGCTTGAGCTCTTGATGGGTTTCATGGAAGCCTGCTTTGAGAATCGATCCTGGGTTGGCTTCAGGGTTTCCCTGCCAAACAATCCTACAGATGGTACCAACTCAAGACCACTAGTTGTGTGATGTCCATTCATGATCGAGAGCCCTCGAGCAATCACCACCAAATGTGAAACAAAATCGTAGGATCACACGAGCTTTCGCAGCCTGAGTTCCTGGGCTTGGTACTTGTTGGGAAGACCATCTCAGTGGCAGACGAAGAGCTTGGACTTTGTTTGGCCAATCCACTCAGGAAGGGAGCTACATGGCTGTGGGTCAACAATATCTACCCAACATGGAAGCCTGGTAAATGGAAGCATGGACCAAAACCTGCGGTTTGCTTGCTTCAATTTTGACCCATGCCCACATTTTTCCACCACCGACGGAAAGTCCCCCCAGTTTTCCGCCAGGCGGATCCGATCGGGCGTCATCTCCCGCGCTTCCAGCAGGTGGGTTCCGGGGCTGGCCCCGGAGACGTCAAGGGGCGAATTTTCAGCACCTTTGGAGCGCATGGGCGATGGAAACTTCGGATTTGATTCGGGGCCACCTCGAAGAATCACTTTGGGCCGCCGTTTGCGTGTTGAACTTGCCAGGTTCCGTCCGGTTGAAGGCGGCCTAAGGAAAGCTGCTTTGGAGTCCCTTTGAAGCAACCGCCAGTTGGGATGGACGGACCCTGTTACCATAGGTGTCCTTTTTAGGTTAGTGCGGTCAAAAATAGAAGGATGGCACTGGTTTGGATGGGGTTTATTCCATTTACCAGGGAAACCCATCTATTTTTTGCAAAAGACACCTATGCCTGCTACCGGTTGATAAACCAGAAGCAAAATACCTAGCAACTGGCGGACGTCCACATGGCCCACGGAGCTCGCCGGGCATTTTTGAGGGTCCAAAAGCTTCCGCCAGGCCCAGCCCACGCCAAAGCGTTGCGGAGGCGCGATGTCGGTGATTCGTTTGCTTCGATTTCGCCTTGGGGTCGGTTTCCCGGGCGGGTAGTGTTGTGCTCCCCCCGGGTGTCGTCCAAACGCATTTGCATTTTTTGGGGAGGACGCGGTACCCCAGATGTGACCAATTGTTGAGCTCCTCTTAGACAGCCAGGGGTCCAATACTTGTAAGACAGGACGGGGAGGCTTGTTTCCCTTTTTTGGAGGGGCTTCACTTCGCGAAAAAACAGAAAGGCTCTTCAAGTGGGACAGTCTCGGATCTGCCTGTTTGTAGTGGCATTGCCGGGGATTCATAGTGGCCAGAAATACGTTTGGATAATTGCCCTTCATGACGTGTTCAAGGGTCCTTTTGCCTCAATTTCTTCCTTTGCCCTTTGCAAGCAACAGTCTCCTTCGAAAGACCCAGCCATTTTCGTGAAATCACGGAATCACCAAAATGCTGCAACTCTGGGATTTTTCAGCTGGTGCCACGAATCCATCCCTTGGACTCCTGCAAATGGCTGTGTCATTTTCCTTTTTGCCAACCAACACATTCCAGTGTCCCCAAATTGATGAACTGGTTCTTATATTTGCCCTCGACTAAATCCATGGCAGAATCTGGTAGAACGGGTTTAGCAGTTGTGGATGCGTTGAGGTGGCATGGTGGGAACTAGGGTTTGAAGATTACTTTCTGTGATACCAAGGGGGGTTGCCCTTTTTAGGTGAAGTAGTGATTGGGATGGGCCAGTTTGTCACAGAATGGGTTATGCTCCACAGCCACGGGTAGGGGTGTATGCTGTGTTTTCGGCTCACCCTCAGCTCGCGATTCCATGGAAGGTGCGGAATGTCTTTGGACTTGGTTCCATAGTGGCCAATTGAATTGGGGAGCTTCCAGCGGCTACTTTAAGGGAGTGTATGAGATTTCCACTTGCAGAACATATTATTTGTCATTTTCCTTGGCTGGTTTTCTCTGGCATCGTTGTCACTACTGGAAATATTATTTTTCCAGGGGGCTAAAAAGCAAAAAACAAATGAGCTTTCCTTGGACTCTTTTCGTGGCATTTTTCGTCCCCCCCCTCCCCCCAGCCCCCTCCCCCACCGTGCTGGGTGCTTCGCTTAGGCCCCGAGCGTGCGCAGCAGTCAGAAGGCGTCCTCCAAGACGCTCAGGGCCGTGAAGGCGGCCTACCAGGCGCGGGCCTCTAAGCGCATCGACGGGAATCTGACCTTTTGGTTTCTTCAGTTTGGTCAGGGATTGGTTTGTTGTTAGTTTAGTTTGGTTTCTTTAGTTTGGTTTCTTTCGTTTGTTTTTTTTAGTTTGGTTTCTTTTGTTTGGTTTCTTTAGTTTTTAGTTAATGATGGCTTTGAAGGTTCTTTTCTGGGTGCTTTGGGCAACTAGGCAACTGAGCAGGTTGTTGTTCGTGTCCCAAAAGGTGAATTCGCCTTGTGTTTTTGGGTCCTTTGGGTAACTGAGGGATAGGTCAGTTGGGAATCAAACAATGTTCGGAGGAATAGTCAGAAAATCCATGTGGGTTGTAAACAGGTGGGGTCCGTTTGAAGGGCCAACACCCAAATGTGAACTTTGGAACATGTCCGGAGGACCCGGAACAAAAAAAGGCACCCCACAACATTGATCATTCCCTTAACCCCTCCCCGAGGCAGAAAGGCCATAAAGGCCGGGGCGGGGGTGTGGGCTTTGTGGAGCCTTTGGTAAGTTTTCGGACTGGGAAAATTGCTCATGACAGGAACTGCATGACATCAAAACCAACATGTTTGAGGTAGAAGCTCTCGATCTTAGCGCCTCAGAAAAGTGACGATATGCTCTTCACTGTTGTTGGCATGTTGTTTGCTTTTGTATTTGTTGGTTCGGTTCATGTTTGGCATGGGGGCTGCAACAAGCCTTCGGTTTTTGACTGCCATACCGTTCAGGTTAGCAAAGTGCTGGTAGGTGGGGTCCGGTTTCGGCTATCTTAGGTTCGAGGCCAGAACGTAAAAGGGCACATACTGGGCAGCGAAATCCGCGAGTCTCGCCACCACGAAAGGAAACCATGGGAGTGAAACCGTTTCACGTAGGGTCTCTGAGCGGTGCCATACTGAGATTTTCGAAACCACCCACAGTAGGATCGTGTGATGATAGGCATTGAATTGGGACCACGCCTTGGCATAACTTTCGGTGGAAACGATGTCTCACTCCCTGAGTTCCTGGACTCGACTGTTTTAATTGAACAGTTCAATTGGTACCTGTAGCCACCCCTGACGTTCGCCATATGTCCAGTTGGTACCTCCAATTTCCACCTTTGGCAGCACGGAAACCCCCGTGCTATGTCCCTTGAGTATGTTGGCTGGCGCTCAGGTAGGGCGAATGCGCGAATGAAGAGGGATGCCGTTTACGATGATCCCCGAAGACAGTTCGGGGTTCCAATTTTTTGAGGACCAAGTATAGTCATGAGTTGAGTGGGTCAAAAATGGGTGCCCAGAAAAATGGAACCCTGGCAAATGGAAATAAGGACTAAACACGGCGGTCCATATCCTAGTGGCTTTATTTTGGCCCAGACCCAATTGGTGGTTGTAAACAAGTGGGGTCCTTTTTTGGTGTTCGCCAACAGACGGCGGTACCAAGGGGCCCCCATGTTGACAACGCTTTCCATCAACGGGGCGATCAACTTGACAATCCATGTGGGTGTGAGTCAAAATTTTCCCGAAGTCGTGGTTCTCCTTGTGCTTCCCCTTTATTCACCCACCCTCCCAAAAAAAGGGCAGCAACAAAAGCACACAAAGGCACGCAAACACATACGTAGACTCCCAAGAACTTTGGTTGTTTTGGTAGAAAAATCGATGGCCCTGGTTGACCTGGTGGTTGGGCCATCAAAATTCGCCTATGCCAAGAGCTCAGATCTAACCTGAACTTCCGGTTGATCAAAGGCTCCGTGATGAGGATTGGGATGATTGGACACCCACTCAAAACATGATGTTTCCTCACTTCCTCAGTTCATGCACTTGAAATAAACCTTTTTGGGAAGATGCTAAATATAAAGA